TTAATTCTATAAAAAAAATTTAATACAGCAAATTAATTAACTCGGTATCTAATTATATTGTATACATAAAAACGCACTTAATTAATCAACGAAATCATATAAAAATCCGCATTAAATTAATGCATCTATTAAATTGATCTCCGATAGCGGATCGATTCATCCGAACCGAGCCGATTAAATTAAACCATTATATCAAATTTTACACAGATGTTACGATACCGTCGGATTTACGGGAAGGCTCTTATTAAATCGGACTCGGCAATATCTGTTGATTTGTTGATATCCGGCGTTATCGCCGCGTGTACGTGCTTGCATTCGTTCGCGGAACACGCGAATAAAGAGAAACCGATAAAGTTACTCAAGGGATGAAAGAGAAACGAAACTACAGGATGTCCTTGCTATCTCAAAACAATTCTGTACACGTTCAGAATATTACTCGATATGTTGTAAGTCGATAGAGAAATTGTGCAATTATTTAGAGGGTAATTTTCGCGGGTAACCAAAACTGGAATTAAGCGGCGTGTGCCGTGCTGTATAGATACGAAAGCGGGGCGCGAAGCGTAAAAGAGAAACGTCGAATGTATAGCCGAGTTTTCTCGCTTTTGTCGTATTTTCCGGAAAACGGTGTTTTCAATTTTAACGGCACGCTTCGGTGATCCTTCACGTCGCGAAATAATGGATAACGATGCCTTAATTTTTATCGGGTCTTCTGCGTTAAATTCGACGAAGCGGAAAATGTTAGCGAACGTTTACGTATAAATAAATATGAAAAAGATTACGTGTAAGGACGTTACGCGTTGTATCGTTAACGGTGATCAATCGGAGTGTGAGAGAGCTGCAAGTGCTAATGAAGTTGTTTGTTTCGTCGCAGAAATAATTACCTGATGCTATCTAAGGTTTTTATTATTTTTATTTTTTTACTATTTTCCAATTACTGTGCATCTATATCTTTTCCTTTAACACCTGAAAGAATATGTTGTTGAATTAAGCTTAATACAATCTTTTTTATAGCATTTTCCATCATAGCGAAATTGGGGTCGTGCAAATAAAAATGCTGGAGAGAAAATGCATGCGGAAAAATTGAAATAATTTTTTATCGCGCAATTGTCGGGTCGAGCTCGAATTAAGCCTATCCTTTATTTTTCCCTTGATATTTGTTTACGTCAAGGAATGTTTAGTGTTCCAGTATTCCAGTATTCCCTTTGGACTTTCTCGTAAAGCGTTTACGGTATTTTAACTGTCCACAGCGTGGCCGGTTCGCAAGCAAATAGCGTCATAAGGCCAGTTAATTATCGAAGAGATTTTAAATTGACCCAGAAAACATGATTATTAAATTTCTACAGCGATAAAAGAAAAATATAACTAAGCTAGATAATTTTTCACGAAAAACACAAATTAAATATCGAGCAAACTTCCATGTAAAAACGTACATTTTCACTATTTACATACGAAATTATTCCATTTATGTTGGTAGATTCGGAATTAACAAACCGGAACTTCTAGTTGGAAACTTTTCCAACTTTCCCGCATCCTTTTTCCATATTTTCCGGCGAAATCGATACGACTTGACTCGCCCGGCTTCGAATCGGATTTGTCCATTTTCCAACACACGCCATTAATTATCTCAAAAAAACTTCCAGCTCTCTTATCGTGCGCTTCTTTCCTCTCGGCAATCGGGTTAGAGCGAGCGACCGCGAAAAAAAAAACCGTCGGAAAACTGCAAGGATTCCACCGAAAATTCCGCCTTTTCGTCGGAAATTGCACGGCGAAAGTTCGAGCACAAGTGATTATAGAAGTTTGGAAAACATCGTGGGAGTTTTGAATCGCGAAAAAAGAGTAGGTTAAGTAAAATTGTATGATCATTGGATTTTTTTTTCGGTCGGGAAGAGTATGTATAAAAAGTAAATTTGCAAAAGTATCTAAAAGAAACAATTAGAATCGAATTATGCTAACAAAAAACGATTGTTTAGCAGGAGTATTTGAAGATGAAAAATGATTAAAACACACTTCATCGCCAATAGTAAAAGATATTTACAATAAATTGAGCATTAGCGAGCGTTATCCAAGCACTTAACAATTTCCAATAAACCTCTATAATCTCGTTTCGCTTGAAAAAGCGGTCCGTTTCTCTTTGAATAATCGCATTGTGTACGTCCCCCCAAACATTGCGTTTACCCTCCTCCATAAAAATGTCTCCCTTTTTGCAGCGCCTCTACCCTTACACGTACTTTCCTATGATCTATTTGATCCGCGCTACGTGACTCATGTTCCTCTACAGGGACGAGTAAATTCGCCGTAAAAATAAATTCGAATAATTGTTCTTAAAAAAGCCGCATGCACGTTGTTTTAAATGCACGAGTAATCGTCACAAGCGCAGCGTTTTTAATCAATTCGTCGAAGCTGTGCGAAATAAACGCCAATGTCAAGGGTATATTGTGAATGCTAATCATAATCGCAAATTGATCTTATGGAACTGACACTCTTCCTTGAACCCACACACGAGCATAATCGAGCGGAAGTGAGGAAAGGAGAGAGAAAAGATCTACCTAGCAACCGATATTTTATCGATTTTATTTCACCGGACTAGTCCGGGTTTTCCACACTTGCATTTCCGTTCCAATGCAAATTTTTCACTCTAATATACCGCATTGTTTAACCGATAGACCCGAAATTACGCTACTAGTATGTTAATGTAATCCGATGCGTGCCTTATTCGAATTTACAGTAACCTTACCCGTAAAACTCCCGCCTCGGAGTCGAAAGCGTTTTAAATATTAATTACGCTTTGGTTTCTTTGATGGGTTTTTTCGCCGTTTACGGTGCGACATAAACCGAGGAAATCGTCGTTATTTTGAAATTGAGCGAGTGAATGAAAGTTGTTTAACGGTATTATATTACCGTATTCATCTTTTGTAAAGTAATAAAAACTTTTACAAAATCTCCTTCGAACAATGCGCATTGTTGAATGAACCGAACTCATATATTAGCTAACTGTATATTCGAGATGTAGGATACGTAAAAAAACAGTAATTAAATCAATTATTTAATTATAATATTCCAAAACAATTATCTGTAGATAAGAATTTAAAACTGTTTATATCCAAGTAAATAACGTAATATTGCAATATAGGTCAGGGTCGCGTAAATCAGTATTTACATTGCTAGATTATTGTAGATAATTGATAACGACCCAATTTTTATCAGAAACTAAACAGTTGATTAATATGCATCTGACAAAAGAAAAGGTAGCTCCTCACACTTGATTCCCAAAATAATTTCCAATTAGCAAATTAGGATTCTTTGCATAAATAAACGTGCGGCTGGACGAACAATGGGAATAGGAAGCGGCAGTTAACGTACGAAAAAAAAATCGATGACCCGAATTCACATTAGGTTGGATGACCTCTTAGAATTTAATCTGAAGACGCACATAGCACACACGACTGACTGACGTTCGGGCCCGGCGAGTCGGGATTCCTCACTCCTTTTTTTTCTCTCCTTTCTTCTCTCGTATTTCTTCGATTTCTTTCAGAAATTCAAACGTTACCGGAGAAGGAAACGACGGCGCGTCCTTAACAAGTAACGGTAGGTTAGGCGCTCGCTCGAATACGTAATACCGGAGTTTTTGCTAACGTGCTATTAAATAACGTTTCGTTTTTTTTTGTTCTACGTACGTAACGTCAATTTTTGATTTTTGCGAGAATGTGCTTGGAGTGATAAAATAGGATAAAGTGCAAACTTGTTACTGAATTAGGTATTAATGCTATTAAATTCCGGATGCTATGTTCTACACTTTACACTCTACTCTCTCTATTCTACTCGATACTCTCTACTCTTTACCCTCTAATATATCTATCCTCCATTCTAATCAACTCTACCCTGCATTGAAATGCTTTTTATGCAAATCATTGAAATAAAAAGAATCTTGTGGGATTTGACCTAGAATTCGGTATTACATGAAAAATAATTCAAGACGATTTGAAGAAGGAATTAATAATAAATTTACTTAATAAATTTATTTGAAAGGTCTCTAGTTTCTTGAAGAATAAGGTTACGATAAATACTAATGTGTAAGAATCTTAGTAAATTAAAACTCCTTTAAGAAAACTGATTGAAATAGGAGTAGGTAATTGATTCAACAAAAGCAATTATTTAAATGGAAGAATCTTGTCTATTTGACACATCTAGAGTTACTTAGAATCTCATTGCTTATAGTTACTTCATCTTTAACGAACAGTTACAAAGTATAAACTTTTTTCAATTACCTACCCTCGCCTTTTTGTTTTCCTTCGATTTAAAACGAATTCCATTCATCTAGGTAATAATGTAAACGTCCCTAAACCCTTGAACTAGATTCGCCCATTCGAAACTGCGAAACAAAGCATTTGTAGGTTACGTAACAGCAATTTTAATCGCAGAAAACGACCGTAGAACGACGGAAGAGCGGAAAGGAGAGAAACCACTAAATCTCCAACGAAGCAGAAACAGACTAAACACAACTCCCCGACATCATTGTCGGCCGTTTACCTTCATATTTCCAATTTTTTTTCCTCCGCTTCGTCCGCTTCTTCTACTTCTTCTCGTTCGTTCGAAAGCGATGAAATTCGTTTTAACGAGGATTTATAACCGCCCGTAGATTAAGCTCTTTATCGCCGGGCAGGAGGGGGATTTTCGTTTTCGACCTGGTCAAGGGTCGACGTTTTAATTACATGCTACTCTTCAACGTCTCGCATAAATACAATTTCATTAAAGTTTAAATGGAACTACGTCGAACAAATTTAGCGCGCTCCTATCGAGTTTACTAGTCGACAATTTTTGAGGTATTTTTTTATTCGAATTATCGTACACAGACGAGCGTATACGGAAATGGGTACAAGGGTTGAAAACATGTCGGTACACAGTATAGAGGAGTTAATGCACGAGACGCACGACAAAACGGAATTACCGTGGAGAACTATGGCGCAAACTGTAAACTACCCAAATTAATGTGAACACTCAACATGCGGCGTTCCATCAAATCCCCCGATCAATCAATAACAACTAAAATGATGAGGGATAAAACGCCGCCGCCGCCGCCGCCGGCGGGGCCGGGATCGGGGTAAATTCGCGTTGGCGTTGCCGGTGTAAAGCCTTCTTTTTCACTTTTGCCCCGGCGACATCCGATGGTAAATAATATGGTTTCTGATTAATCGTCAACCTATATCTTTTCCCGAGTTTTCGGACGTTGAAATATCGAGGTCCCGAAACTTCCGAAACGAAAAATAAAATGCCTAATACAAAAAACCTCGTATAAACCCAGTGTGAAAATCTCCCGGTTAATTAGCTTTCTCCAATTTTTTCGACCTTTAAATCCGACGAACACTTAAAAACAATCATTAGACGGCCTTGGATCGAATAAATTTTAAATACGCCGCCTCGTGAATAATATCCGTCTGAACGGTTCGACGATCACACCGATATTGTACGTAAACATAAAACCGATTAACATAAATTTGCCGGATTGCGAAGTGCACGAAACGCGGGTAATAATAATATCGCAATAAGTCGAATGGCCGGCGTATGAAGTTCGCTTTTCGCTTGGGCATATACGAACGTAATGACCTACATACCGTCGTAACTCCGCGGATTCGAACTTGATCTTTGCATTCCAGATGCAAACGCACTGATATAAATAACCGACTCGCCGCCGTGGCCGGAATATTTTATTAACGAAAACGACTTCAACTTCGGATGTGGTAGGTAGGTGCGCTCGAGTTTATAAGGACGGTTAGATTGCTTAATTATCCGTCGAAGTCGCGATTATATGCAGCCTGTTTTAATGAACGGTCTGTTGGAAAATCGTTGATAGAGATGATGCTCGTTATCTAATTACTTTCTACGGTAATTTCAGATTGTATTTTGCGGATAGGTGGATCTTTATGGCTGTAGTTTTGAATTACTCGTATACCGTTATTATTTTTACTGCGGATTTTATAGTGATTATATGGTAGGTATACGAGTATAGTTTGAGTTGCGAAAATTGTTTTTCTTACAAACATACCTACATAAAAAATATATAAATTTCTAAACTTAATTTTCACAATGGAATAATATTGCTCCTTCATTTTCTAAACGTTTACAAAAAAAACGCTGTATTTTTGGGGGATTAAATTGTTGTATGTATGGGCATAACTAAACAAATTATTTTTGCAATGAGTTGAATAAAACAAGATTATTAAAATAGCCGTGTTTAGTGTGAGAAAGTTATTTCTTTTTCCTTTATATGAGACTAATAGAAGTTGCCTTTATTGCACCCATAAATCATATTACATACAAATTTGCACTTATCTGAAGCTCCCCCAAGTTTTGCATAAATCCATATTTCGAATCCTGAGGTTTATAATAATTATACTTTATTCCAACCCAAACCAAATTTTTTATACATACCTACGTATAAAACCAATTACCTAATAATGCAATAGAAGTGAAAGTTTTTTTTAATCATCATTTATAAATATATCTGCTTGTGTGTGTATGTGAGTACACAAATAAATTATCGGAAACTCTAGCGTAGTATACGCCATTGAACACGGCAATAATTTATCTCTGATTCGTCGGTCGTGTTATTGTCGACTAAAAATAGATTGTTCGGAACGTTTTTCGAAGGTTCATTGTTTATAATGCTGGCGTTTGCGATGCGCTTTTTCCATTTTGTACTAAAACCTATTCGCCCGGCGCGTTTTATTCGTTAATTTCCATTCTTGCGCGTTAATTAATTCATTTTTAAACCGAAAATAAATACGCGTTCATTATTTCGATCGTACAAAGGACTCGAAAAAATTGTAAAATTCATTACGCAAATATGTTTCCATGTAAAAATAACACGGCGATCTATTAATACACGCTCAGATGAATATATTTAATGCGTCTGTTAACAGAACCTAATAAATAGATAATTTTGGATTAAAAAAAGCGACTTTTTCTGCAATAAATTTCTGCAATAAGCGTGGTTAATGTTTCTTAAGTGCCTAAATTTGAACGTGTCGAAACTAAAATAATAGAAAGTGTTCAAAGTCGGTTTTTGTTCAAGGACCGAGGAACTTATAACTTCACTTTCTCCGAATTACGTGTTTGTTTTCTTCTCTCGCTGCTGCAAGATATGTACAGCTTTGATATCGATCCAAGCAATGATAATGACCTTTCCCAACCATAAACGGATAATCACAATGCTTTTAATATTTATTTATTTATTCATTTATTACCGGTTGTGTAATTCAATATAAAAGTAAAGTTAATAAATGGTATTTTATTTTTTTATGACTCGACGGGTAAACGAATCGGCGTAATTAAACCGACTATTTGATATTTTATTTTGTACGGGTATTTGAGCAAATTTATTTCTACAGCTATCAAACCGAACCGTTTAATGGCGGATTAATTAGGGAATAAAATCAGATCAAAAATCGATTCATCACGACGTCGAATTTCATCAACTACCCACCTCCATTGAATATAAAACAATAAACATTAAAGCCGCAAAAAACCCTCCGCATTTTATATTCACCCCCATTCACGTCACCGTAGTGAAAGTTACTGGCGAATTCCGAGTTCGCTTGATTTCAATCTATAAATGGTTATGCAAATTTAATCTTCTCCGGTTGTTTGTTTAATCAACGGGCGTTTCTCGTTAGTTTCCCGTGCAAAATATCCGCAGGTCCCGAATCTGGCCATCGAGCCGGCCGGATTTTAATCAAATTTGTTCAATAATTTTTTCTTCATCGACGTTTAACCCGAATAGATAACTACTCGGATACGAAAGCACCCAACGTAGCTCGCAATTAATTTAATGATTGTTTTATTAACCGTAACTCCAGAACGGACCTTTAGCTATGGCTATAAAACGCCGGTTTTAACTCGGCATTAACCGCCGGTTATTATTACACGCGGAAAGGAAATGTTTTAGATGTTTTGAAGAAAGACTTCCGAAATGAATCATTAAACTGAAAGCATCGAAAACCATATGGTTATTGGGCTCAATTACACGCAATTTTTCCAGCAACTTTGATATCTTATACCTCACCAAATGTAGCTTGACACGTGGAATAATTTAGAAGTTTGATCCGCCATAGTAAAAGTATTTTAAATCTCTCCCCTTTCGCGCTCCTAATACAATTGCCCAGCTACATTTTGGGAGGTATACCAATTTTCCTATTTCACATTCAACTGCTTATACAGAGTGACCCATCGATGTCCGCGAATAAACCCGATGGAATAACTTTAATGTATTCATCGGACTATTAGTAAACAGTTCGCGATTCGCAGCTCGTCAGAAATAAATTCGAGTGCAGTGCGCAATAAAAGATATTCTCGGTTTATTAGTTTGTAAGCGGAATGATTCTTAAACGAATTCCGACGTTCCCACGGAACGGGCGATCTGTCGCATTTTTGGAGCGATGTGCGCTCGTTTTTCGTCGGAAATATGTATAAAATAGAATGAAACGAGGTCGACCGTAATAATACGGCTATCCAGGCCCACGTGAACCCGACAGAACCGCGGACGTTTCGTGCAGACGTTGGAAAAATCATGGCTCTTTACTCCTTTCGACTATACAGTTAATTAATTATTGTTTATTTTGGCGCTCGGTCGCTCGCTAGAAGAACTATTAATACTATTTATACTAGTAATACAAGAAATGTGGTTATTAAGAAGATACTTTTTCGTGTTATAAATTAATCACTTTCCTATATCGAAGAGATGATAGGACTTTCGATTTTTTTTAAATTCGCGATCAATTGACCAACTAACCTCGATTTTTTAAGTACATAATTTCGCAGGTGTAGCATCGCGATTCGCGAATTTAAGAAATGGAAAAAATAAAACTCGGCTCGTTATATAATAAGATAATAAATGAATTTTTCGTACGGCTGGCGAAGAAAGTTTTATCCTACTTTTTCGCGCCTGAAATTTATGTTCGGCTTCGGTCGAGACGCTGAATTTCATTACTGCCGTACTTCTTCGATATTTTCCATTTATGGTTTATTTAGTTTAGCTTGCATCGCGTTTTGGAGCAAGATTATAAAGCGTTACTTTATAACCGGTTATTTTGTAACAGTTATTCGAGTGTATGGTAGTTAGTTAATTAACTTTTCTAATCAATATGTAGGTACTAGATTTGACATATTTAAAAGATTATTTTTGCATCACAATTTAATTTGGAGTAGGATTATAAAGGGTTATTTTGTAACAGTTATAGTAAATAATACTTGTAATCAATATGTATTAAATTAGACATATTTATTGTTAGAGACGAGTAGAAATATAATAGAAAAAATTTCGTTATGTTTGCGTAAACGTTCGGGCAATCGATTGAGCTTCTTCCTTTGTTCGCTCGTAAAGGTCGAAACGCGGCAATGTAAAGTTCGCAAAGCGGAAATATTTACGAAGTAGAAAACTTTGCGAAATCGCACCGGTGACTGTTTAGCCTCGTCTAACCATTTATTATTGAGTCGGCGGAGAATTTTCGCCGGAAAATCGCCGACTTGCTCTTTCATTGCGTCCGTTAAAATATTGTTTTCGTTGTGTTCCAGATAAGATCATAGCAGGTTCGACCTGCAGGTCATGGATGTTACGTTTACAAACGTATTGGAGGGGGCACGACAGTATTTCCAGGGGCTGCCGGCGGGTTCAAATTCGACGGTAGGCCCCAACTACTCGTCCGAATCGCACCTTCGCAATGACTATGATCCGGGCGTGCCCCCGTCTTCCACGGCTTATTGGGCATCGCATGCCGCCGAACCGGCCAGATCTCAATCCAGAGATAATAACATTCCTGTGCAAAGGGAACACATTTCTGTTCATAGAGGAGAACATGTGCCGATGCACAAAGATCACTCGTCGGTATCGCAAGAATCCGATTCTTCGTCCAGACCTCAAGCACATTTACCTCGCAATATGGAGCAAAATAGGGGGTATTATCCAGGTATAAGTAGATTTATTAATCGTTCTCATTTACTTAGTTTTATAACATATTGTTACACCGCAGGTTCTTATACAGAACAATACCAAATGCACCAACAGCAACAAGCGAAAATTCAACAACAGCAACATCAACAAGTACAACATCAAAATCAAATGCAGCAGCAATTTCAAAATCAACCACAACCACCACCACAACAACAACAACAACAACAGCAGCAGCAACATCCGCACTATCAACAAACCGAGCAATACCAACAATCCCGGCAATCTTTCGAATTCTCCAGGCCTCACATACGGGATTCCCCTAATTACTCGCAGTACCCGTCGCAAATGCCAGCCGGCTCGCCTTACCACCAATCCGCTTCACCTTACCACCAAGTTCCGTCTCCCCAGCAACCCAGGGCGCCTTCCAGAGAACAAATGGTTCCTAGAGTACCATCGAGAGAGCAAGCCACGCCGCGTGCACCGTCCCACGAACAACTAGTCCCCAGAACATGCGCCTACTCTCACGCGGACTCGTACAACTACTCTCAAACGCAGAGTTACTACCAGCAAGCGCAACCGAAAGTCGCCGCCGGTACTTACAAGCCCGCCGCTTCGACGCAACCTCAACAGTACCCGCCGTCGTCGAACCAACAACAGCAGAGCGTGTACTACAAGCACATCTACTCGTCGCAGCAGAACCACCAGTCGGTGTTCGCGGCGTCGCGACAAGAAGACCGGAATTCTCAACAGGCGCCGGCGCCGGTGAGGACCAGTAGCTCCGAGCAAGCGCTGAGAACCACTCACAATCTACCGCCGATCGCGAGCCTATCGAATTACCATTCCAGTCGCGCCAGCCGGGAATCTTCCAACAGACCAGCCAATCCGGCGGCGAGGAGTTTCAGCACGCACACCAGCACCAGCAACTCGATCATACAGCCCAATCCGGCGGCGTCGGCGTCGAATTACAATCAAAACTACGGCAGAATGAACGTCGCGACGACCACGACGCCGTCTTACACGCCCGTTATAGTCACCACTTCCAACACGCCGACGAGCTACTACCCGTCGAATCACAATCAAAGCCAGTCTTCCAATCAGTATTCGAGGAACCAGCCCGGCGAGAGTCGGGTCATCGTGAAGCGCGAATCCCCGTTGGATCTATCGGTGAAGACGGTGAGAACTCCGGCCGATTCGACTTTAGGCGAAGAGGAATCCAGGAACAAGTTCGCGCAAAATCAAAGGCTAACGGCTCACAATTACCCGCAGCTGGACGTGACGTTCCAGCGGAACGTCATCCAGCGACCGATGCCGCCGGCCGCGACCGCCCCCAAGTTCGAATTTCGGCCTAACTTCAGCTCGCCGACGTTCAAGCCGGTCAAGCAGGAGCCGCCGCGCGCGCCCGAGAAGGCCCACTCCAAGAACAAACTGGCGCCCGACGGCAAAAGCGCCGCTTACAGGTACCCGACGGCTTCGGTGCCGACGGCGGCGCACGTGAATTCCTACATCCGGGCGGCCCCGAAGCCCGGCCTTCCGGCCGGCCACAGAGCGGAGGCGCTGAAGAGGCGGCCCGGCGAGCCGGAGACGCCGAACGTTCCGAATAAAGTTCCTAAGGTCGCGGATTCGTGGAGGCAAACCATCGATCTGCAGATCGAAGAGAGGCTGTCGAATTACAAGCAACAACAAGCGAAACTCGTCTCGCCCACCAAGGTTCCTTTGGTCAACGGTAACTACCAGGAGAAATCGAAGAGCATGTACGCGGGTTACGAGAAAATCAACTACGAACAACATTCCACTTACAACCAATCGATTTATAACGCGAGCCACGTACAAACTTACGTACCTTCGCCCGGTACCCATCAGTACCCGGGCTACCCTGCGCACACTTCGAATTCGTACCCTACGCCTACATCCAGGTCGAATAGTACTAATTCACTAGCCAATTCGAATTCGAATACCAACGCGAATTCGAAAAATCCCATGGGAGGAGCCGTCGACAAGCGAGTATTGAATTTATTGCGGAACAGCTTAGAGGTAAACAGACAGAAAAAACTGGGGCAGATGAAATCGAACGAGAGCGTCATCCCGCTCAGATCGGACGTCCAGCATCCGTCTACCGACGTCACGGCGCCCCTCCAACCCAAGCCGGCGTTCGTCAGCAGGAACAACGTGTCGCCGTTCACGCCCGACAACAACGCCGGCATCTACAAATTCCACATCCCGAAGGCGATCGACTCGATCAATTTCGACACTACGAAAACGGGCAAACAGACGCCGGAGACCGTCATAGCCAATCACAACAGCATGAACGCGGAATGCGACGGACTGGCGGCCTTCCTGGCGGCCCGGATTCGCACGAAGGGCGAGCTCAAGCAGGGCGGCCAGCCGACCAACAAGAGCCAGCTGCACGACATCATCGAAAACCAATTGAAGTCGCCCGTCAAGCAGGAGAAGGACGTGCCGAGCCTCAGCTCCAGCCCGCCCAAACTGCAGAAGGAACGGCCCGCCTCGGCGTTCGCTCCGAGGAAGCGGTTGTTCAGCCGGAACGACGAGGACTCCACCAACTCCCAGCCGCCTCCGAGAGAGGCGGGTTTGCGCAGCTCGTCGGAGACGTCGGTGTTCGATTTTCCCGACTCCGATTCGGAGAACGACGGCAACAGGGAGTCTTTGGACGCGTTGAGAAAGGGCAGGAAGACCACCAAGCCTCTGCTGACGGACGTTAAAGTGGAACCAGCGCCCGGCGACGATATGTTCTCGCAGCTCTGCGATAATTTCCTCGAGCAGCTGAAGAGCGGCGTTCACAAAAGGAAGTCGAGAAAGAAGAAGGACGTTTCGTTGTTAGTGGAGCCACTCGGGAATTCGGAGGTTACGGTGAAGGTGGAGAAGATCGAATCGACCGAAGATGAGAAAGAATCGCCTGTGGAAATCGATTTGACTAAAGTCAAAAGCGAGCCGGTCTCGAACGATCTGGATACTAAAGACGAGGACATATTTTTCGCTAAAAGGCGCCACGCCAGGCGAAGGATCTTATCTTCCAGTGATAGCAGCGACAACGAGACGGCGAAAGACAATGAAGAAGTCGGCGATAATAAAGAAAACAACGCCGAAACGACTCCTCGCGTCGAAGTGGAAATAAAAAAAGAACTCCTAACTGAACCTAAACAAAGCGAAACCAAAGCAACCGAAGCAGAAGAAGACGAAGAAGACGCTAAAAACAACGTCGACGGTGTACCGATCAGCCGACCTTTCAAGAAACCCTCGTTCGGAGACGGCTCGGATTTCTTCCCCGGCTGGGAGGAGGAAGTCTACAAGTACAAGAAATCCTTACGGATGCCTCCTACTCTGATTCCAGTCACCAGGCCGCCGGCCTTCCATCGTCTATCCACTTCCTTGCCGGATTTGGATCCCTGTCCTCGCTCGCCTACAGCTTCTCTACCGGCCGACGACAAGGAGCTCAAGCTGATGAAAGCCAGCAAAATCAAAACCGAGTACCCGGACAGCGACACCGAATCGAACTCCAGCTTCAACATCTTCGGCAAGAAGACCAACTACGACTCCGAAGGCAGCTCTTCGATCAAAAGCTCCAGAGAAACGTCCATTTTGGACAGGTTGCTGGAGAAATGCGGCGGTCGCAAGCGGAAGAAGTTCAAACGCAAGGACGACCACAGTCCGAAGGTTATCCCCAAAGCGGACAATCCCGTCGAATTGCTCGCCACTCCTAGTTTGGAAATCAAAGAAGAGGATAACAAAAACACGAAGAAACTTTCCAATTCTCCGGTAATCAAAGCCGAATCGCCACTTCTGGGCTTCCGGAAATCGACGATCAGCAACTTCAAAGACGCCTTCATCAAGAGATCCAGCAGCATTCTGAACAATCAATTCACCACGGTTGTTTTGAACTCGCGCACGCGCAGAGAGACCAGAGTGCAGAAACAACGGGCCACGATCAAAGAGGTATTCGGCGAAGACCGCCCGGCCTCCGCTCCTCCGGTAACCTGCCTCAACGACATCCAACTCAAAGTAGAAGAGGACGATGAAGCAGAAGCAGAAGAACCCGGTAATCGCCTAGGTAACTTAGTGGTGCGATTAGACAAAGAAGAAGGCATTCTGGATAGGATAAGCGACATTAAAAGAGAAAGAGAAGCCGACAGGCAAAGCGACGACTACAAAACCAAGAAGAAAGACAAAGACGACAATTTACTGAAGACTATAATGGAGAAAAAGATTAAGACTGAAGCCGACGGGGATGATTCGATCATCGAAGACGACACGCGCAGCTTGGACAACATGACCGTGAAATCGGAGACGCCTTCGATCGACGGCGACGACGGCAGCCTGTCGGGCAGGAAGCGCGGCAAGTTCGGCAAGGTCAGGCGCAAGCTCAGCTCCGGCTTCGACTACATCAGGAAGAAGAAGAAGATCAAAAAGGAGCCGAACGAGAGCGAGGCGGGCGACAAGAAGAAGCGCAAGAACGCGCTGTCCAAGACGCTCGAGTCCGTCGATGACGTTCAGAAGGAGATCAAAACTTGGGTGCTGAACAAAGGTATCGGGGAAACCCACCTGCACCGAGCCGCCAGATTGGGGTACACGGTATGTATTCTTTTTCATTCAATTCCCATTTATTAGTTCACCCTTTCGAAGTTAGTTCACTAATCAAGATTGAGGTAGTAGAGAGGAATCCTCTCTCTTCCCTTTCTCCTCTCTCTCTCTCTCTCTCTCTCTCCTTTCTCTCCTTTCTCTCCTTTCTCTCCTTTCTCTCCTTTCTCTCCTTTCTCTCCTCTCTCAAATCTCTCTTCTCTCTCACCTCACCTTATTGTATGCCGAATAGCGGCTCATCATTTCCAAACACCCTGTATACAATACATTATAAAAATAGCGATAAACGTTTGAAAATTGGTCATATTCAAGTCATCTTAAACGCTTCATAACCGGATACAGTTAAAAAAAAACGACAAAAACAACAAAAATAACAACCGTTTTTTTTTACAGGACGTTACCGCCTATTGTCTGGAAAAAATGGAATGCCATCCTTCGCCTAAGGACAACGCCGGCTACACACCTTTGCATTGGGCGTGTTCGAAAGGCCACCTCGAAATAGCTAAATTGCTCCTTCTTTATGGCGCTAATCCGAGCGAAAGCGCCCAAGGGGGCATCAGGTGAGTTTAAAATCCGTCGTGAAATCGTCGGTTATTATTCGGAAAATTGCGCCGTTAAATCAAATCCAGTTCACGTGTGTAATTGCCCATGCGGGCGTACGTTTTGAAACGGTTGTAAATTGGGCGCAAAAGGGATTTATAGGTTTTAATCCCATACGTAAATTGGGCGCTATTGAGATTTCTACAATTTACAGCCATGTATTATCTTGCCCATGATTATATGAATTGTTGGTTCTTCATCGATAAATTACTATTTTTTTTCGCATTGTGGGATTCTAAGATACGTTCCATGACAGTTAACAAAAATTGTCAACATTGACATTAATGACATTTCGTATGACAGAAGTTTAATAGAGGTGGGAATGGATTATATGGTATAGAGGTGCAGTAACGACTGTTACAAAATAAGCGTTATTTTTCAAATATCGTTCTCCTCGAGAATACGATTTTTTACAATACCTCGCTGCGTTTTTTTTCAGACCTTTACACGAAGCCGTCGAGAACGGTTTCGTGGAAATCGCCCGGCTGTTGCTCTCCTACGGGGCCGATCCCAATTTGGCCACCTACTCGGGCCTCACGCCGCTGGCCCTCACCAACGACGAGTGCACCAAGGAATTCCTCAGGAACCACCTGAACGACATCGAAGGCGAACCCGCCGATCACTGGATCTCCCACGGACCTTCTTCGACGTTCGGTAAATACCTCAACACTAAATAACCAATCAAATTGTCTTCAAACTTCATCCACTCTTTTTCCCCGTTTACTCATTTTGTGAGGTAGAGTCAATTAGATAATGTTGCTATTCATAAAACTAACGACTCAACTTCTGTAGTACAATTCATTGAAACTTCAGCTGTTCAGTTTATGGACACTTCCATAACGAGTCCTTTCCATATGAATTTTTATTGACTACAATAACGGTTTTTTTTTGTAGATCCATTGGATCAAATCGGTTTCAACGTGCTGGAGGGCGTGCCGGAGCCGGATCCGGAGCCGGACAACGAAGACATCGACATAGAAACCTCGGACTGCCTGCTGCCTAATCTCTACACGCTGAGCAACGAATCGTCGGCGGACAAATGGGTGCTGTTGCAGGACCTCTCCAATCTGCTGAAGATCAAGTCGCGCGACGCGCTGCTGAAGCAGATCTGCGCGCCGGCGACGAGCGGCGCGTGCGCGACCGCCAAGCCGGTGCTCAAGGAGCTGAAAATGTCGGAGTTCCTGGAGCAGGCGCGTTGTTGTCAGTTCCTGAACGCCGGCGAGAAGATCAACACGCGCGCGTCGAAGATCGCGCTGGTGAAGTATACGGACAAAGTGAAGGAACTGCTTAACGTCGAAAGTGTTTTGATAACGGCCAGGTGACCCGAGGCCAGCGAAAATGCCGCGTAAAACGGTCCCTAAATTCGTACAAGAGTCGGCGGTATTCGATTTAATCGATTTGTAATAATTGAATCGATTGGCGATTTATTGAACTGGTTGTGATGTTAGTTTAAAATTCTCATTTTGTGCTATTCAATTAAATCGACTACGCAATAATGAACTCTTGGTTTATTTGATTATAGTGAATCATGTTGGCGTATCTAGAACGTTTTGAATAGGGTGTCCCAAAAAGTAACAGACATTTTAAATCTACATTTTAAATCTTCTGACACAGCACATTGTAATTAGCATTATTGCGGAGAATTTAATCATTTTAGAAACTTACTTGACTTGGTTTTATTGGTACTGATTCTATCTTTAAGATAACCCTATAGAAAAAATCTAACGGTGTCAAATCACCTAATCTTGGTGGCCAATTGACACTACCTCTATCATAGATAACCCGATATTCCTCAGAGAAATTTCCCAGTTTCTACCTCTTATTCTATACTTTTCCTGTACGTTTGCTTATAATTATTTACTCTAATTTTGTCACGAAAAAATTGTTTCGACAAATTTAAAAGCCAGTTACTTTTGGGACACCCTGTATTTCGAACGTAGTATAGCGGTGTATAAAAAAATCTACTTGAGTTTGAATTCGCGATGGGCGCTTTTCATTTTCCATTTGCACGATTATTTTTCTTCCAACGCCCTGTAGTACGTTCGATATGATAATGTTTCGATTGTGATACGCCGATGGATAAAATCGTGATATTATTTTCTAAATGTGATTTAATTTTGCAATGTTGTTAACAAATCGTTCGCTGGATTTTTTATAAGTTTAATGTTTATTTTTCGGTTTCTCTCCTTGTGGTGGTTTCCCTTCGCCTATTATTGTCTAAATTTATTTACAAACTTCCGTAAATACCTCTTAATTGTAAACGATTTTCGTTACGAATATCTCGCAGAAATCGCCACATTAAATTGTTTTTGATTTATTTTGAAGATGTTTATTTATTGTTTAAGTTTAATTGCGTTACCAACTCAATTTAGGCTTTAAAAATAAACGAAAAGTTAGGGATTAGGTAAATAGAATTTAATGTTGTGAAAGTGCAATTTTTTTTGTGACTGTAAATTGAAGGATAGTGGTCCACGATTGTTTCTAAAAGAATTTCGAAGGAATTAAGCATATCTGAATTTTCAATAGAATAATTTAGCTGAAATTTATTCCTTTTCGGTACCATACAAACGTACACATTTTGTTAATAGTTTGAATAAAAAAATATTTGTTATCCCACAGTTAATTAAATTACAGGCAATTTGGTAAACCAGAATTTTCAGTATTTTAATTTATAAATGAACAGATACTTATTCTGGATTCATAACGTAAGATAATGTTATCAATTCGCTCAGGGACCGTACTCGTTTTTTGAGTAAAGTACTTTAAAAAAATAAGGTAGTTAGATAACAGAATGTATGTTTGTATAAATGTAATAAATTCTCCGAGTATCGATTTAAGACGAATTTGCTGTATATACATATACATAATGTATTTTTTAAGGCTGAAACAGCTTGTTTTCTATATAAAATAAGGTCTAAATGTTAAAATCAAAGTGGATTTAGCAAAATGGCGCCGTTTTAATAATAAAATAGGTACAAATATGTCTAAAAGGCGGCGTACATTTTGCTTCATTGTAGTTTGTTCTGTAAATAAATCGCTTTGTAAATGTGTTTCTGATAATTATCAAAGTGGAAAGATTTCTTTTTGCTTATTACAATGTCTGGGTAGTTGTACAGTCTAAAAAAAGAGTTATCTGTGATGCGCAATTGGAGGCAAAGTGCAATGCTTTTTTGAAAAAAAAAATCAAAAAAACCTAAAAAACGATATTGTGATTTTGCCAACTTGTCCTATTTGTGTGAATTAGGAGATATTTTTTAATTTATGGATCTTTTTCACATTTTTAATGTTTTTGTTCTATAAAATTTGTGAAATACTAATAAATATATCTAAATTGTGTTTTATTTGTCTCAATCGTTAATTTACGATGTTTACGAATGATGAAATTACTTATAACACTAATCAAAACAAGTCAAATCAAATTTGTATCAAAAAGATATTCCCCCCTCCCAACACCAATATGTGGCCGAAAATATTAGCAACACGAGGCCATATCCAGTGCAGAGCACGAGGCGAATAAGAAGTAAGCATCGCTGGCCTTTTACAATCCAGGTATGTACGCACCAAAACGCTAATAGACCTCCCATAGAATACAATTATCACTAACTACTTGTAATCTTTAAATTTTGATAAGAAATTACTTGAATTAATAATTATTATTCCGAAATAGAATTTAAATTTAAAAAAAATCTTCTTTTTTATATATATTTATATTCTTCTTTAAGTTGGTATTGGTGAAAGTTTTACTCAAACGTCACTGTCACATAAAATGTCATTTTTTTCATTCCATTCACCACCTCCCACCTCCACTAGCCAGTACAACGAGAGGTGAGGTTTGAGTAACTGTAATGTCTTGTTGAACTTCAAAATAATGTCGAGAACATGAACTAAATGAGTCTTCTCGTCGAGTTAATTATCATTAAGTTTAATTATGTTCTAGTATTATCAATTGGAATGCAAACAAAGTATTTACAGTGTTTGTGCAGCCCTTATTGTTGATACTTGTGTGTACATATGTAAATCTGCTTCATACAACGATTTTCATATTAAAAGGTAAGTGTTTTTCATATTTTGCTGTAAAAAAAGTTAAAACATTCCGATAGAAGAAATTGTTGTTATTAAAAATCATTAGGCGTTTTATGGTTTATTAACTTTTGTTCGCAAATTTATCTTAATCTTATCGGTTTATTTCTGCATCATTGTATTTATTTATGATTAATTAGGCCATACAAATTTATTAATAACTCTGTTGTAAAGATCCAATTTACCTTTCTACTACAATTCGCATGGAAATCTTGTGTAATAGTGTTAAATCGCTGTGGATTTAATTCTCGTCCTTGTATTCAAACAGCATAACACTTTCCTTTTTGTTTTATATACTAGATCAAATTCGAGTGCTTAAATACTGGTTCTTGGTTTTCACTACTTATTGGTAATAGATAGATATCTCTTCGAAATCGCTTTTCGATGTACTCGCATGCATATTCACGAAGCCTTTCTTCGAATTCCGAATTATCTTCAGCCACACATGAATCATTCCTTTTTTTAATAAGAACAAGCTGTTGTAAATACATTTCGATTTGGTGATATCATTGAAGGTTTCGTTTTCGTAAAAGGTAAACAGATTTTGCAGAACAATATTAAATTAATTCTCGCACTAACGTAAAATGCTTATAAATAGACGTGTTTAAAAATAATTGGGAATTTCCTGGTCGTTGATTTAACAAAAACTTATTTATAAATATTTAACGAATCTTATACTTTAATCTGCAAATTGTTATTATCTGTTTAGTTTGTGAATTGTGTGATCTCATGTGATGCAGTTTCCATCATCATTTGATGATTATAGGATGAGGTAATTTATTAGTAAAGTAGATTAGTTTTTACAATTGATTTTGATAAATGAGGATGAAGTATTGATTGGGATGTAAACCTCCAAAATTTTCTAATAAAATAGTTAATTTTTTGCTCCAACGATAAAAATAATCCTGCTAGATTTACACTAGTTTGAGGACCTTGTACGCCCATTAGTGAAGTACAGGGAATTGCATTTCCTGGGCAATTTGTATGACTTTAAAGATACATTACTAGTAAATTTATGCAAATAGTACCATTAAAAGTTACTTACAATCTGGATTTTCCACAGAAGTGTTATTGGTTTAAACTTTTGCAATTTTTACGAATGATGTTTTTTATTTATTGATTTATGTTATTTACGGAAAATGGGTTTCCTAAACCAGTTAATTTTAATAGAAAATACCCATCTGACATCACGTTTTAGAAAGAGTGTATTGTTATTACAATACTTTACAATACTTGCCATTCTATTACCTGAAAAACTACTAGCTAGTCTTTTAGGTAGCAAATTTACTGAATTTACCTTCTCTTTGAAATCTTATATTTTCTAACAATTTCTCGGTCCTGTAGATGACGTTACAGGTCTCTAAATTGCTCGAGACCGATGCGTTCTTGCTTTAGCAGGACCAATTAGGTCGACAAATCTACGAATTTCGAATGCCTAGTTAATTTATCCTTGGCTGATCATTTAGAAAAAAAAAATCCATCTTAAAAGTAGTGAAAGTCAAACTTGTATTATAAATAAACGTTCCGACATTCATAAAGGCTGTTTGGATATGTTGCATAAGTTCGAACAGAGGTCACATTTGCTAATGTGTTTCTTTCTTATTATATTATTGCTATAGCAAAAGTTTATTTTATTATTATTCAGTAGATTAAATAAGATGATAATAATAATTAGAGGCGATATAATTCGGTATGTGTGTTTAGGTTTATCAAATATACGAGTATTATTCATTTATTATGATTACTTTTTATATCTTTTGTTTATACAGGGTGATTTCACGTTGTATTTTAATGTTGAATTTGAAATTGCTCTGTATATTATCGAAATATTTTAAAACTGATTTAATTAGCCTTTGAACTCGAGTTTAATATAGCGCCTTATCGGCTATATATAGTTTTTAAAACGATAATTTAATTAGGAAACTCAGCTGCAATTAAATACAGTTTAAAAACCAATAAATTTTACAGTAGGTACATTCCCAGGAGCACGTGAACGTCTGTATAGCTTTACGAGGTTTATAACGGCATAAATCCGAAAAAAAAAACTTGTTGTCTCTTATCTTAATCTCCTCCCCGTACACAATAAACTTTTATTATTTTACAACAAATTTCGAGCTATTACCAGAAATTTCTAATCCCCCTTCAACAATGCGAATTTAATGGTCCTGCTGATTTAGCAGCGCCATCGCTTACCCCGCTGCAGGTAAGGCGAAAAAATTTTAACCGGTTCTGTATCAGTCTCGTGAATTGATTCCTGTGCCAAAGGTAAATTTTGCTAAACGATAGGTTTCTATTTTAACACGTGGACTTCAGAGGTGAGTTTGTAGTTTATTTAAACCGTTTGAAACGCTCATCAATCGTGGGACACTCTATATAGAGTACGATCTGATTCCGCATCAAGCTGTTTAATACATCTATTAACTGCAACGGACGCGACGCGTCGGCGGCAATAATACCTCATTAAGCGGATTTATTATCGAGATACTATTACGTCTAACTGAAATCGACTTTACCGTCCATTTTTTTTTTTCGCATAAAATTCGCGACAAACGCCGTCTATTCAGCGCATTTGCGCAACTTTATCGCTTTCACAAGAAGCGCTCCGGCCGGACTCTTTTTACCGTTTACAACGTTTACGGGGTGCGCCCGAAAACTGATAATGATAAAATGATACGACGGAGGATTGCAACACACACGCGAGAATGAGCCGGTCCCGCACGAAGGACGAATCTTTTTTATTTCTTTTTTTTTTTTTGGAATCGTTGGGACATCGATATTTGCGCTCATTCGATATACGCGACCGTGATTTTTTTTTTGTCTAAATAACGGTTCGTGCTGTTCGATGGGCGTAATTAAAAATAATTGGTTATTCAAGTGAAAATTTCATATAATTGTAAGGTAATTTTATTCAATTAGTGGGAGGTTTTTTGTTACTAGATATGTGTGGTATTCGAATGTATAGGGTGTTATTTAATTGAGTGCCGATACTTAAGGATGTGAATATTTGGATGATTTTAAGAAGAAAAGTTTATATCAGTATATGTTCTAAAACTCCTAGTTTTCGAGATACAGGGTGTTACAGCTTTAGAAAAAAATAACTTTTCTATCATAATTTTCTTATTACTCTAGATATTTTTATGAAATTTCGGACATGGACGTCACTGGTAATAGTAGAAAATTACCTGGAGAAAAACCTCCCTTAGAGAAAACACATTAAATATATCTTGCAAAACAAAGTGAAATGTACTATTTCTACCCCTTATTCGATCGTGTACTTTTCCATAACAGAACCTCAATGTTTACTTTTGACACCATATAAATATTGACACCCTCTATTTCATCGGATCAATTTTTTTGCGATTATTACAGCGTAATAAAAATTCCTGCATATATACTTATAGCTCTAAAATTTCGTAGTGGAAATGTAATTTGGATTTTGTATATCAGCTCGGCAGCGTCATTTAATAACAACTAAACCGAGGCTATTAAAATATTTGTTTAGTAATATTATCGTTGATATGAAAATGACAGATTAGACATGACAAAACAATTATCGTATTTATAATAATTTCTTTAAAAAACAATGCTTAAATATCCCAGAACTTAAACCGTAATTATCTACATTATTTTACGTTTAGTATTATTTATTTTACAAGATTTACCTTTGTTCAAAAGTAATAAATTTGTTCGAAACAAATTGCATTAAAAAATGATTTATTCTAAACACCTATACGTCGTTAGAAAATGATTTACATATAAACGATTTATTTAAATCGCGGTCCTTCAATCGGGATAGTTTGTGTAATTATAAACGATTCTAATTAGAAATATAAATGCCCATTCTATTCAAATCTGGCATTTTTCACTGTTATTTTGTGCTTATTCCCAAAACTGTTATTCCTATATTAATATAGCGAAAAGGAATAACAAAAAAAAACGTTTCAATTAGTCCCATCCGTTGTAATCCGAACCGAACCAACGGCAATAAAAATTGTTTATTTTTAGCCCAACAAACAAATTGATTTGCATTACCATTTCGCTTCTATTTACATAATTTATAGTCCTTATCATTACTGGAATTAGTGTACATCTCGCCATCTAACATTTATTTCTATTAGTACCGAATTAATTATGGATAAATTTTGAATAGAGTTCGAGAGGGTTGCGTGGCTTATCGCAGTCCCACCTACGCAATAAAAGGAGTTATTTTTAAAATAAATAAGGAAGTACTTACGAAAAGGTTGCGTTTGTTAACGTTATTTACGTTGCTGCTTTGTTTAATAAAAGGTTATTGATATTCTTACAGCGAGACGAACGTCCTCGGATTTTGAGGTCAAACTGTATTTTTTTTGCTAAACGATACACCGGATTTATTTATAGACGTTTGCTGGAAGATGACAATGGGGGTGGCGCTTTGAAAATTCAATCCATATAATGCCGGTTGGCTACAAAGGAATGCTATTGTGTTTTATTAGATCGATTTTCCTATAACAATGAAATGGGATTATCAATATTAATTAGTAGTTTTTTATTGCAGAATGGAAAAATTGTTTTGGTTGAATTATTGAAGAAAAATCCAGGTTAAATATTTTCTTGTTTATTCAGAGTAGATTCACAATTTATGCACTATCAAGGTTGTTTTTTTTACAAAAAAAGAACGTTTTCTTTGTTCCATTATTTTGCAATTGCTCTTATGTAACGAATTGCGTGAACAGCCTTTTTTCTAATAGTAATATCAAAGCGTGTAATATACATTTGTCCTGACGATATTAATTCAACATAATTAACGGAATCCAACTTCTGCATAAACTTCGGAATTTTTGCTTAATAATAATTTATCGACAAATGACTAGCTGGTAATTATGCAGCCGAGATTAAAATTATAATTAGATTGCAAGTACGTAAACGCGATATCAAGCGTTAATAACCATCAGGTCCGCGACACAAACGCCGCGCTCTTCCAGCCGGAAAAGGAATATAAACTGGAATTAACATGAAAAACTGTCCCGTTTCGCGAGCCGCGTTTTCGTCGTAAGAAGATTACCGCGAGATTCCGATCTGTCGGGTTGCTTTTGAACTAGTTTCAAAACGCGAGTTCCGTTGAAAATTATTTTTATTTACGATTTTACTGCATTCGTGAAAGTCGCTCTGTGGTCTACATAAAAGAAAACTGACCTAAATTAAGACTGTTGTGACGTGCAAACGAGGTTTTCTGTTTCGACGAATGATTAGCACAAGCGATCCTATCGTATTAAATAATCTTTTGTTCATTCATGCGTGCCTGCAACTATACATGTATGTGGTTATTATTGAGCCAAAGATCGTTGGGTTTCCTGTTTTCCGAACATCGAGGGCTCGTGTGGTGTTTGTCAACGTTTCAAGACGGTCCTTGACCTGATTTTGGGATCGTTGGCGAAATTTCATCTCGCGAGGTAGCCCGCTCATATTTTATTTACACCCAATTATAGAGTGAAATTTAATTGGAAACTACACCGAAATCGCGAATTTAATTCGCTATACCAAAATATGATCGCCGCGCCGGCAAACTCCCCGCGTTTTAACAATTTAATTGCAATTTTCCTCCGATGATTAACCGAAATTGACTAGCGAATAGAAAATTTAATTAATGTTTTCGATTCGCTCGTTATTATTGCCATTGTGGATAATAGATTAGTTAATTAAACGGGGCATTGGAAACGGTGATTTACTCCAAACGGTAATTGTTCTGTTTACCCGCGATAAGTAAAATAGAGTTCATTAGATTCGGAAAACAACAAATTTTAGTGGGCGAACTATTTCGAATCGCGGGAATAATCCGAATCGTTTTTTTTTCGATTAAGTTAATTCAGCGCACCTGTATTAATGTCATTGCTCTTGGCGGGTTTCGAATTAAAAGATTATTTTCGATTTTATTCATAATAAATTTGACCAGTTCGTATTTACCCAAGTAACAGGTATAATTTGGAGGTACCGGTATTGAAATTCACTGTAAATTCTTAATCCGAAACCCGCGTAAGTCCAGTGAATGAACTATACATTGCGCTTTAGTGTATTAAAAGACACCCACGGTCGTTCGTTGGGCATGAAGTTAATCTTAATAATTTGCCCCCCACGCATCGGGTATTACGCTGTTATATTAGATTTATATACTGGGTGTTTCTTAAGGAGGTTCAGAAAATAAAGAGGATAATTTATTTGCGAAAACTGGGGTCGTTATCTGGAAAATCAGCCCCCCACGCATCGGGTCTTTATGCACAGGGTTATTAGGAGAATAATTTCTTTGCGAAAATTTGGGATGTTTCCTATACATTCTTGACTAAAAAAATACTGCATTAAAATAAAGTTGCATTTTCCTCTTAACGCTTTTGTTATTCCGAATTGAAATTTCTGGATCGTCTGCAGGTGAATTTGATTAACTGGTACGGGTGAGTTGTTTTTCGCAAAATCGTGTTTGTTCGCTGGAAGATTTGCAAAATGGAAACGGGCTAAAAATAAGCGAGTTTCGATTAATCCCGTCGTTTGGCAGCATCTCGGGCGCTTGCAATAATCGCCGGTGGATGGTGCATTGTTTCGAATAAAAATAAACCGGCGTTGTTTAGCCGGAATACGAATCGAAATAAACCGAATTTTCGACGAACGCCGATGTAATGAGTCGATTAATTGGGCGCTAATTAGGTGAGTTTGAGTTTTTTGCGAAATTCTGCACATTCCTGCGTACCTACCGATTTGCAGGAAAAACGCGAAATTCGATGCAAATATTATGAGATACGGAGGAAAAACAACATTTTTCTCACAACAAAATATTATAAAAATTCTAAAATATTTAAGTTTGTAGTTTAATCTTGGGTTTTACCGGTGACTTTACCGATAGATAAAAAAATACAAAACGGGCGCATCAGTATGTACTGAATCATTTCGGATTACGGTCGTGTGAATTGTAAAATAGGAAGCGAACTGTTTAATTAGTAACTAACTAATCGAGGGAATTCGCGAAATCACAATTGAGTATTACGTACGAAAAAAAAACAACAATTATTTTTTTATGTCGGTGACCTTACGTGTGTTTCCAAGTATTTAATATTAGAGTGAGATTTGTGTACAAGTATTTACAGTTACTTTTGAAATATTTAAGGTGCATTGCTATTTTTAGTAAACCCAACGAGCAGTTAATTGATTGCTTTATTTTGTAAGTCTGCATGAAAATAATTTTTTATTTATGTACATTATCAATAAATTTAAAATTAGATTAGATTTATTGGTCTTTTTCAAAATTCAATGTAATTACAACAATTACTTTTCTACCATATTAAGGCTAATTTAAAAATATAAATTGTATTGCACAAATTAAACGCTTTCGATTATAAGTGCGTTTTATTATATCTACAACATATTTCACTATAAATGTTTACATTGATGTCTTATTTTCGTTGGGTACTTACCTCGTTATTTAGTTGCAACCAATTAATATAATTTTAAGCACATTGTACTGTCTCTATAATTTATTAACTAACGATTAATTGTTAATCGATATTGAGCAAATTCAAACTTGCGACATCGGAGTTCTATTTAATAAACGAAAAGTTATAACATTGAATTATCACAGCGAAAACAATTCGATTTGTTATGGATTATTTTTCTTATTGTTTCAGATTTATTGGTGCAAAATGTCGAATTGTTGGTGAGAAAGTAACAAAAGTGCGAAAAGAATAACATAAAATGCGTGGTTCATTAGACAACGATGTGACGCCATGCGTTGCCGGCCAACGTAAAAAAAGATTTCCTAGTCGATGGTCTTTGAGGCATCTTCTTTATTCTAGTCCGATTTTGAACAGGAGAAGAGGCCAGAACACGTCCGGCCCCTCCAAGGCTCACAGTAAAAAGGACGGTGAGTATTTTTTTACAAATTTTTAATTAGGCGCCCGATGATTTCCAGGTTAAAAAATAGTACTAAATGCTCGATAAAGAAATGTATAAAGCAGTATAAAATAATAATGACACCCTATTCTTCAGTAAACTACTGTATCTTCCTACACTACTCTGTTATCGTGTGTTATTATTATTATTAGATCTATTTATTGTTAATTTACTCAAAAGCAACCCTATTTTTTATTTTTATTTATTTGAAATTCCGAAGAGAAGTCTTTTGCGAGGGACATTTTCGTAGAAAACAATTAAACCAACTACGCTTCTTTTTGTAATTTATGTATTAATTGAACGTATTCATTTGTATAACTATTAGATTTTCCGAATATTCTGTGGTGTTTAATCGATTTTTTCATTAAATTTTTCTAGCATTATTCGACGTGGATAACATTTTTTTATAGCCGGTATGCGTCGAATTTTATTTATGAGAATTTCGAATGCCACTATACGTACGAAAAAATTCTCGTAATTCGAGATTGCGTAGGAATATCATATGGTACACGTATAAGTTTGTTGCAAAATGCAAATAATTTAATACAATAGAAGAACGTAAATTACACGTTAGATTTATTAATTCTTTTTAATAATATAACGCACGAAGTTATGTAAAAATAGAACTATTTCATTTAATATTATTTAACAAATTTTATATTTGCTAATGTACTAAAAAATACCCGATAACAGTTAAAATTCGTCAAGGATATTTTACCGAAACCATATCAACAAATTTAAAATTTTTACGAAATTGTATTAAAATAAATTATTGTTTATTGCCAATTCTACAATTTATTATAGATTAAATTAAAGAAATGTTTCAAAACATTTATTATTTTATCGAGTTTATTATAATAATGTTTAAAAAGTGTTATTTATTTGTATTACAAAACTACAAAAATATGTTGGTATATTCATAAATGTAAAAATTATGCTTTAAAATTCGCTTGTTTGACTTTAACACGTTTTCTAACGATTTAATAACACCAATTTTGTAATTTCTGACTGAAAACTTGGATGACCTGAATTCTTGTATTTAATATGCTTAATTTAAACCAATTAGAATTATTAATCGTTTAAATTTTGCAACAAACATTACTACTCCCTTATACTTATTGTCATTGCAGAAAACTAATAAATTTAAAAATAAAACGTTTACACAACAATATTTTTATCATAGCGGTAGTCACATGGTATCAGTTCAGGTAAACGCGTAGGCTTATCGAGAGTTCGTCATCCTTGCACAATCATAATTTGCAGAAACCTTAGCACTAATTTTAAAACCGATATCGACACCTCTACATTATTAAATGAGCACCTATAATAAATAATTTATCTACTTTTGACGTTTTTATTTTTAATTTTTAACGTCATGTCAGCGGAAAATTCTGTCTAAGGTAAAAAAAATGTGCACTGGTTTCTTGTTTACGCAAGGTCGAAAATATTAAATATGTTTATAAACATGTTATAACCATCTAAAAATTAATTCGTACTCGTTCGGTCAGTTGATAAAAGTTTGCGACAGAAAATGGTGCAATTTTTGCGAAATTTCTAACGGAAAAGACATGTTTTTAATCAGGCGTAAGAGCAATATCAAATGGTGTCGTGAACGGGAAAGTTTGATTAATCCATATTCAGGTAATTTATAAAATATTTGACATATGAATTGACATTTGACGTACGTCAAAAAAAATGCAAATTGTTTGTTACTTGAAATAAAAGCATAACAGGATTACGGGGTAATAAAAATAATTATATTAACAATAATTCGAAGAACTAATTAGTTTTATAGATTAATTTCGAGTATACTTTAGACTTCAGATAATAAATTTTAATTGGACATGTTTTACATTCTATTAAAGGACATATGTTACATGTATACCAAGTATGTTGATACAATTCGGTTTTAATTACGTTGATAGAATATTTATTTGTGTATTTAATTTATTGATAGCAAAAAATTACAATCAATAGGAGTATTAAATAATCATCTGTGTAAAAATTTTTACCCTCATCTTCAAAATATGTAATTTAGAGTATTCGTTTATTCATTGCCAATTCATTTGAAATTCTGCTAATACTCTTAACTTTTGATAGTCTAAAATGCTACCCGGCGTCTAATTGAAATTCATTGAAATCATTTTCAAACGCATTCAATTGATAATAATCTACATTTTTTGAAACAATATCGCATTCTTGGAACGATAAACCACTTTATATGGAGCTTCTATATTTATTACTGTGCGTTGTAACAATTAAGATAAGTTTTAACAAAAGAGTACTGGTTTATTCAACTTTATTAATAACGCTAATTTAGAAGAAGGTATATGACACTTCACAGTTCAATTGTAGAACACAACGACCGCAATAAAATTTGTATTTTGTCCACCATAATTGTGGTAAAAATATATAACGCACATACATTTATTGTAATTAATAACAAAATATCATAATTGGTCAATTTCCGTGGAAATAAAATTGAATGAGTTGTATCTGACAAAAGTGCGTCATTGTAATTAACTCTGAATAATGAATGATATTGTATATGGAATTGTTGCTGATTGTAATATTGTAATTAATAATTAAAATAAGTATCGACAAACACAACGTTCGAAGCTGTATTTGCACAACGATTCCTGGAAGAATTTTCTAGTTTCTAGTCGTTTGTAACTGTTGTGTAATGACCTATTTTTTTCATTAATACAATTTTTCATAAGAATCGATAACTAAGAAGCACCCTCAATTTTTTTTATGAATGTAGCACAAGGCAACGAAAAAATTAACGCAATTTTATGGAATTTTAATTTCTAAACATTTACATTAGCTTTTCAATGACACGAATTTCAATTACATTCGTTTCGAGTCGACGTTAAATTAGCATATTTTAGTTAATTGCAGAAAAAATAATAAATTTATTATAAAAAATCGAGTAGTACAATACAAGTTATTGTTTAATATATTCCCAGAGCTTGTCTGAAAGATTTTAAAGGAAAGTAGAACTGGAAGCGTTTGTGTCTGTGAACAGTAAACTTTCATTAGATACACCGTCGATTCTCCTCCATTTATGTATGAGTAACAAAGCAGGAATTCTCGGTCTCGTTGCAGGAAAAGACGCAGTGGATAGCAGGACTGGCAACAGTTCGAAAGAAAATGACAAACACCACGTCGAAATCCACCAGGCCACCAGTCGAACGTCCGTTTATACTACAAGCACAAAGGTAAATAGTAATTTTTAGAAATTTTGGTTTCAGCCTTGGGCCCACTTTCAAATTGTTATATTGATGTATTTTATTATCTATCATGTAATTCACAAATTTAAAAATGGGAGGTGAAAGAGCCTTGTAAATCGGGTCCTATGAATGCATCATAGGTCATATCTGATTATATGTGTGACTAGAATTAAATTGTATGGTAAATGTTGCTTGTAGAGTGGTGAGGTTCTTTCTTCATCGTTGGAATGTCCTTTGTGTTTCGCCGAATTACCAATCGAAGAGTTTTGCGAATTGGAAGCCTGCGGCCACAGGGCGTGCATCCCATGCTTCCAGCAATACCTCAGAGTCGAAATCACAGAATCTCGTATATGCATCTCGTGTCCCGAATGCATGGAAGCGATGCATCCGAACGGTAAATCTCGCTTCGAGTCGTATGTTTCAAATTACAATTAAAATTCCATCCAGAAATCCGTTCGATATTGGACAACACCGCCCTCTTCGAGAAGTACGAGGACTTCATGGTGCGCCGCGTGCTGGCCGTCGATCCGGACACGCGCTGGTGTCCGGCGCCGGACTGCTCGTTCGCCGTCATAGCCAGCGAATGCGCCAGCTGCCCGAAGATCAGGTGCGAACGGCCCGGTTGCGATTCCTACTTTTGCTATCACTGCAAAGCCGAATGGCATCCGAATCAAACCTGCGACGCCGCCAGGGCGCAACGATCGCCCAACATCCGCTCGTCGTCCATCACCTACAGCCAGGACTCTCAACACAGTAAGTCTTCTTCATTCTATGAACTCTCCTTCGAACTTATTCTATGATTATTCGACAACAAGTCCATCTAATGTAGCAGCAAACAGTACTCCATGAAGTCACTAACTGGATTTACACAGATGGTCATCTTCCCAATAAGATACAGCAAACTCAATCTACTGATCTTGAGATGCATTACCAGATAACAAACATTGCTCCATGAACTCACAAATTGGTTTAAATAGATCATCTAATGATCTTGACAGATCTTAACATACCTTAACAGATAATAAATATTGCTCCATGCAGTCACAACCTGTTTTACATTGATTGTTTTCTTCTACAATAAGACATTAGTAAGGTCCACCTAATGATATAGGGATCTTGTGGTACCTTAAAGTCCATCTATAGGTCTCTTGTGGTACCTTAGCAGGTGCTCCACGACCTCACCAATCTGTTTACCTACATTGGTTTTAACGGCATCGAGCACACGATTCGTTGTTGTTGTTGTTGTTGTTGTTTAGTTACGAATAGCTCGTTGAGGGTGGTCGATGTTTTTGTTTCAGGGGACGATATTAAACCATGTCCTAGGTGTCAAGTACTTATAGTGAAAATGGACGACGGTTCGTGCAATCACATGATGTGCGCCGTTTGCGGGGCGGAATTCTGCTGGCTGTGCATGAAGGAGATTAACGACCTTCATTTTCTTAGGTAAGTTTCTTTGCACCAAGTCAATGGCTCGTTTTGTTGAGAGGTTGTATTCGAAGCTATATCTAGCTATTTTTTTTCTGTGTATTTGCAGTCCGTCCGGTTGCACCTTTTGGGGCAAGAAACCGTGGTCGAGGAAGAAGAAAATCTTATGGCAATTAGGAACTCTAGTCGGCGCGCCGGTCGGTATCGCTCTGGTGGCGGGAATTACCGTACCGGCAATGGTGATAGGTAAATTTTGACTACACCATCGACCCGAACGGCGTCGTTTAATGCGATTTATCTTGCAGGCATTCCAGTTTGGGTCGGTAGGAAGTTGTTTACCAGATACAAATCGTCGGGGAAGCACCGGAGGAACGCGGCCATCGTCGGCGGCGTCGTGGCTTCGGTAAGTGGATAATTTAATTTTTGAATTAATTCGAAATAACCGGGCGTTTGGGTCCTATTTTATGAAACCGCTGCCTGTATCGATTCCTGTCCACTTGTTGCTCTTTTGCCATCTGTTAGCTAATGGGGCAATGCGAGCCATCGATTTTATAACTCGTGCCGGAATTTTCGTCGAAACCTATTGATAGATGGCTGTAATTGTAGAGGAATGTTTAGTCGCGTTTATCTACTAAATTAAATTCCGGACGGTTTTCTATTTCTTGCTGCACCAGCTAGGTTCTTTAATGATATATCCTTGCTCGTAGTTCTTTAATTTATTTTCTTCATTTTTCCTGAGAGTAGTTACTTTGCATCACTTTGTCCCATTTACAAATTCCTCTTTTCATTACTTATTTTACTTTATCGCATATAACTGGTCGAGAATTCAACGTTACATCTCAAATGTATGTTTTATTCTCTATTCTCGAGTACAGCGGTAAATTAAATTAATAAAAAAAGAGTCATGGCAGAGCACCTGGCGGCGCGCGTACTTTTCCTCGGATTCCGGTAGATCGATACGGATGTAGACGGGAAGACGGGCGAGGTGTATCCACAGAATCCGGCTCGGGATGATGCGTTCGACGTCGCGTCGCCTGGTAGTCTCGAGAGGGACGCTCGACGTCGCGACGAATCCGTCTCGCTCCCCTTTTTATAGTCGATTCGCCGAACTTGGGCGAGTTTCGGATTGAAAGATTACGATCGTAAATGCTAAGTTTCTCCCAGAATTTTTGATTGTGAACTGCTTCTACAATAGCGAAAATAATGATATTTACAATTCAAATACAGGCGGATTATTCTCGAGTTTATTCACTACTCATTTGACCAGTTGATATCCGAAAAACAGGTAAAAATTAGAGTTACCTGCACTGTAAATTTTTAATCCGAAACTCGCGTAAGTTCAGTGAATGGACTATAGTTTGGCACTACGCGAATACGCGTCGCGGCGCATACCGATGCAGAGGTCTATCAATCCATATTTGCTTACTCTGTAGATTGTAAAGGAATTTTGATTTTGCAAAACACAAAATCAAAAATGATTCATAGATAAGTCGGTAAATAAAACGTTTATTAATGTAATTAGATAACAAAAGTTAGTATATTTTTGATAAGCGCTACATACTACTTATAGATTTTTTTTTACACTAAGTAGGTAATTTTTTGTTTGGATTTTTTTACATAATATTGGCACGGAACGTATTTCGATTAACATGCGCGTGAGTTTAAGCGAATTTCGATTGAAAATAACGTATCAAAAATTGAGCAAAAGAACAATTCGTTGGAATATATTTTTTTTACCGAAAATATTAAATACGAGTCGAAACGGTGCAGTTATATTTCTACTTGCTACTGTGTTTAATATTCGTTTTAGTATTTTTTCTACAGTAAAAACGTCTCGTAAAAGGAATTAATGTAAATTTTAATGTCGAAAGTACGCTACACCTTTTGCCCAACTTTTCTAGTTTTAGTTTCTCCCGAATCATACAAAATATATTATAGTTTAAATGCGTTTTTTGAATATCTTACAGCGAATATCACTTTAATAGAATTGCGTATTTCTTAAATAATTCCATCTAATAAACGCTCGACGAAAATATATCAAATAAAAACAAAATGAGTTATATGAAACAATTTTGTTGTATGTGAAATTTGGAAACAAATTTGATATGTTTCATAATAATATTTACTCCTTCAGAAGTCACGGATTGATAAGGTATTTTGATTTATATCGTGAATGATTGCGAATTTGATTAGACAAGTTTTATTGGTTCTGATTAATATGTGATGTCTACAAAAATAAGGAACCCATTTCAAAATATTTTCAAGAATCGCAAAAATGACAAGACTCGCTTTACTAGTCATACAATAATTATTTAGGAAGAGCTATTATACATTACAAATTACAGTGCGAGTTTTGAACTGAACTATCAATGATTGCTCATCAATCTGTCTGGTTTTTAAAAAAGAGCACAAACTAAATACATTATACAACCAAATTTTATTCTAATAAAACCGGTAATGCCGAGTTTTATCACACATTCACAGTAACAGAACAGAACCAATACATTAAGGAGTCTATAAAAGATTTTTCCCTATCGAAGAAGCCATCATCGTTAGTTGACTTCTATAAATCTCGCCAACTCCAATACGTTTATTCGATGGAATTATCACGAAACCCACTGATTCACCTCATTCCGGAATCTTACAAGCCACGTCCGCGTTCAGCAGTCCCTCTTGGAACAAATCCTTCAGCAATTCCAACAATCTCTCCTCCATTTGAGCGTTGCCGATGGCCAGGTCGACGGACCCGATGCACAACAGCAGGGCGAGCAGTTGCGATTTCCTGAAATCCGATTCGAGTTTCTCGCGACCGTAGCCCAGTTCCCCTTCGACGTCCAGGTCCAGTTTCCTGCTGGTCTCGATCAGCGCGTTCCAGTACTCGTCCAACAAGGAATTGGTGTGCAACCGCCGCAGCTCGGCCGGCACGCTGCTGTTGAGCAAAAGGGCCAGATCGTTGGTGGGGCGGCTGTAGGTGACCATTTGCCAGTCGAGGATGGCGCACTGGCAGCTGTCCTCGTCCTCTTTGAACATCAGATTGTTGCACCAGAAGTCGGTGTGCGTGATGAGCGCCATGGGCTCATCGGGCTCCAGCAGGTTCTCGATGACGTCTTTGGTGTTGGGTCTGAGGTTGTTCAACGCCGCCAGGACGTCCTCCATGCCGGTCTTGCGCTCGAGGAACATGGAGAGCTGCGGCAGGCCCCTTTCCACCAGCTGCTGGTAGGAGTCGGTGGCTCTGTTGGTTTGGAAGAGGAACGGGTAGCGTTCGGAGAGGCTTTTGCCCTCTTTGATTTTGAGGCATAGAGATAGGGCGTGGATGTGGGCTATGGCCTCGACGGCGGCTTTGGTTTGCCGGAGGGTCAGGCCTCTGGCGAAGTCGGCGCTGTTGTAGCCCATCGGTTTGAGATTTTCTAATACTAGGACGGATTCTGGGGGAACGGGTTCTGGATCGTTCGTTCCTGCGATATAAGAAGTGATTTTGGTGAATGGAATTTATTAAATTAGAGGTTATTTACCTGCGGTGTAATGGGCGTAGTAGCATTTGGGTATCGGTAGGCGTATGTCCGATTCGGTCGTTTTTTGCTGGTAAGATTGAAGGTCGGGAACGACCTAAAAAAAATGCATAAAATGCGAAATTTATTAAACAACGTTATAAATAAACGGTGACATCAGGGGTCAACAAAACGGAGTTTTTGTTGTTGATAACGATTAGTTCAACGTACAGATAACGTTTTAATAAATTATTATTATTTTTACTACCTGATTAACGGCGATGAATTCGTTTTAGAATAATTTATGGAAAGTTGAATTAAATTGAATCGTTCAATCAACTTGTATATTTTATACCTGGTGCAGGACCAATGTGCATTGGACAGAAAAAAAACAACATTTTTTCTTCTTAAAAACAACATTTTTTAATTTAATTTGTCCACCATCTTCAGACACATCCACTGGCTCTTTTAAGCTTTACGAAGCTTTTAGGGAATTCATCGGCTTATTATTTGAACCAATTCTTGAACAACAAATCGACAAACCTAAAACTTCCGTTATCGCCATGTTAACTAGTCAATAGGCGAACCCTTTCACGTGATAACGCGGCATAATTAACATCTCCGACGTCTTTGTGTCATCGCCCAAATCGACGTCCCAGAAAACGAAATTAATTAGACCTAATTGAGACCTTACCGAAGCGTTATTCATCCGATTAATTAGGTATGCGTATCGCGCCGAGTCGAAGGGAATACGGGCTTCCTTCGCTAATTAACGTTTCGAATCAATTTCGAAATTGAAATTCCGTTCCCTTTTTTTTTTCGTCGATTTGCGTTCGACACGTAATCCGCATACGGGAATTACAAATCCCCGTAAATTGTCTCTAAAATGCACGGTGCGACAGAAATGTTTCGGATTCGGAGAGGATACAAAAAATGCCAGAATTCGTTAATTTTTCCAATGGAGTGTGTGTTATAAATTTTTCGAATCGATGCTTCGGTAATCGTTACACGTGTGTACGAACAAAACCGCCGCCGGAGGGCGGCGGCGGTTCCCCTTTGCGCGATTATAAATAGTGTTTAAAGCGTTCCGGTCGAAATAAAAAAAATAGAATAAAAGAGAGGCGCCACCGCCGCCGGCCGAACGCTTTATAGATTTTTCGAAAGCCGATTAGCACTTACCTGCGTGTAAAATTTTATCTCTCTAAGATCGAACTGGGCCTCGGTCACGAAGAACCTGCTGAACGGATCCTGCGGCAGTAGTTTGATTATGAAGCTCAGGCTGTGCGTCACTCCTGCGGGATCTTCCCTAAAAAAATACACCCGAATTATAATAGAAAAAAATTAGCACTAATCGATAGAAAGTGCGCTAATTAGGGTTGTAAAAATTGAGTATACCTCAGGCTGTATTTAACCGCCACAGCTAGAATATCGCTAAGGACACTTTCGCCGCTTTCGCAGCCCGGTTTCACGGTGAAATCCAGCACGGTGATCATGGTGGGATCCGGCAAATCCTTGTGGTGCTCCTTGAGGACGGCCTGAAGCCATTCTTCGGTCACCGGCCAATCCGCTCCGCTCATTGAATTCGAATCGTCCTCACTGTCTGACATTACCTAAAAACTGTACCATCTCTCCGTCAAATTCATTGTTCATTCGTGGCGAAAATAATGATGGGGGCGCTTAAAATATGTCGACGATTTTATTATACTGCTGGTGTAATAATGAATGAGGGTCTGTTCGGGCTAATTGGTCTCTAATTAATCTTGTAATTTCGTGTTATCGTTCGCGTGACTTACAAATTGTATTTGTGCTTGAGGGTTGGTGAAGATTAAGGGGTAAAAAATGTGTTTTTTTTTTGGAAAATGAGTTGTGTGTACTAGGAGTTACGTATTGTACATTTTTTTTAATGAATTTCAATCAAAATGAAGATAAATTTCTTACCTATTTAGTTCACTTATAATTGTGATTATTAGATTTTATTATAGAGAGCACAAACTTTGTTAATGGAAGACCAGCGTCAGCTTTATTAACGAAGCAATGTTAGCAATCTAAATTTGGTCGTAAATTATTATTGTTATGTAGCATGAAATTGTAGGTACTTCCTCTGCGTGACTCACCCGTAAAAAATTCTCTTGTTTATTCATTGTTAGCTGTACACTGCAAATTTACCTAACTTACCTACTACTCCAAATCTCGCTCCAATTTTCGAAAAAAAAAATCTTACCTAACTATAGTATAAGCTCTCGCCCTCTCCCCCGCGTTCAACTTTTCATCGGAATATCACAGTCGAACATATCAGGATTCGGGCGACAATCCGGATTCGCGATCAACATTCAAAATCGAACGGTATCGGGAGCGACGGAGCGCGCCTGCGGTACATCACACCGTCGGTACAGCACTGAAAACTCGAAGCTCAACCGGGAGAAGAAGGGCCGTCCGCATCGGGCGTCGGTGAGCGTTTTCCTGCTACGATGGGGTCGCTCCCGCGCGACCCGTCTGGATGAGAAACGGAGACGACGCGATACGGTCCAGGGAACGCTGCCGCTTCGCCATATTCATCCGAAATTCGCCGTTTTCGTCAATAAGTTTGGGAGGAATTTCGGATCAAAATCACTCTGTAATAACTGGCTACAAAAATCGTAATAATGTAGATCCAAACCAATATGTTCTAGTCTATAAAATTCTAATTTTACTACTGTTGAAACAGGCTACATTTGTGTAGAAATGTTCCTGTGACTCATTAACATTTCCCCGGTCCGGTATTAATGAGATACAAAGCTCGTTGTAGTTGCATAATATTCGGCAACCGTGCATTGGGTGTGTGCGCGAAATCCCTGCACGGCGGAAAACGCAGAGCCGGCATCGGCCCTTTATAAGGTCAACCGATTACTTTTTTATATCTCCTAATGACCCAATTCCCCTCACAAAATCGAACGCCGCCACCGCAGCGCATTAACCGTATTACAACGTTCTCCCTTCCTTTATTCCAGGTACTGATAGCGCCTCTATTGGCCGGTCTAGCGGTCGGAATCGGCGTACCAATACTACTGTTTTACGTCTACGGCGTGGTACCGGTGTCATTGTGCCGTTCGGGCGGCTGCGGCGGTTCCTCCGCCTCCGAGGACTCCAACATGGTGGCCTCCAGGCAAGCGGACGCCACCTCCATCGACGCCGTCAGCACCAAGGGACCCAATCCTTCGATAGGCGAGGCCAGCTTGTCGTTAGCCAGCGGCAGTCAAGTACTTAGAGACATCGATAGGTAAGATTTTCTACAAGATTCTTGCTCCGAGCCCACGAAGAATCTTCCATCTTCTATGGAGATTTTGATGGTTGTTTTTGCAGGGAATCGGCCAGCACGGTAGCGCTGGCGGGCAGCTTGAACCAGGCCGGGCAAAGACTGGAAGTGCAAGCTGATCTCGCGTCCGCTCAGCGGTTCAGTCTGAGCAGTCTCAGCGAATCGGTGAACGCGAGCATCACGGACGACGCGGGCGCCAGCATCAGGGCCTTGGCGGGTTCGATGTTGAACTACAAGGTGTGTATTTTCGATGGGTCGTTGGAGCAAATTTTTTTGATTTATCGGCGATTCTTTTGCAGGCTCCCGGCAGCGATTCCTGCAGTTGCATAACGACGGAAGACTGTACGTCCGAGCGCGTCCGTTTCGACGACAACGTCAGCTTCAAGACGTCGTCGCAAGCGGAGAAGACCAGCATTGGGAGCAGCTGTAGCTTCAGGGCTCGATGCGCTACCAAGTCGGCCCTATCCAAAACGGCTAATGACAAAGTAAGTTCATTTAGTGTGTTTATTGCGTATACAGGTTTCTTTGGTGGTCTTCATAATTGGTGGACTTGCTGATGGATAATTTTCTAGCAAGACAAGATCTACTAGGTAGAGGATTAAACTATTTTATGGGAAACTAACTAAATCAATTGGTTAAGGACTAAATCAACTGTGCAAACGATTAGATCTATAAGGGACTAGATCTTGTATAGAGAATTTTATTATAGATACAGGATTACACTTGTCAGGCATCTACTGTCGAAGGAACTAGTGGTAGGATCTACTGGTACTCTATAGAGGATAGGATATGATGGATAATGAATTGGCTCTGTTGAATAGAGGTGTAGATGTACTGATTAGATGAATAGAGCTACTAGTTAAAGAACAAGATCTTCTCTACAGAGGATTGGATCTGATCGATATTGGACTGAGTCTATTGGATGAAGATCTAGGTATACTGCTTAGGGAACTAAATCTTCTTTGTGGAAGACTGGACCTGATGGATAAGGGACTGAATATTCTGAATATAGTAGATCTACTGGATACAGGTCTATGACAATTGGATGAACATAGTTTTGCACTGGCTGCATTGGTTTGTTGAATGGAACCGATTAACATGATGAATTTTTCTGTGTTTTAGATGTACGGTGATACGTTGAGCAACGATAGCGTGTGCATAGAAATCGAAGAGAAACCGAAGAAGTACGCATCGCAGGCGGCAATGTTGCGTAGTCAATTTTTTCATTCCATCAACGACGGCAAGGCGACGACGAAGAGCCTGGACGACAAGACGATCATCGAGGTATCGAACGAAACGTTGGATAAGCAATCGTCGCAGCCGCTGATCGTGAGCGGCGCCGGTCAGGGTACGTCGCAGATGGTCAAGTTGTCGGCTTCGTTGAATTTCGAAAATTCCAAGTTATAGTTACCTACTAATGTTCGTTTGTTAAGATAATATGTCTTTCGGTTACGTCTGTAATTTTTTCATTTTTTTGTAGATTTTTTCGCCCAAGACTGATCTTTTTTGTTTCGTGTGTTTCGGTATTGGCGTTTTGGTTTTTTTTACCGTTTGCGAATTTGTTTGGTTGTGTATCGGAAAATCGTATAATTGAACTGAACTTTTTTTGCAACACACGCGAGCGCACATTTTTAACTTAGGACTGTCCGGATTTTTTTTATTTTTAAAACGAGTTTTTAGGTGATCGCTGTTTCAATTGATAAATTGACTAAAGTTGGTATTTATTCGAATTTCATTAATTTGTACAGTTGTGTATAATTGCAAAATGTATATAATTACTTAGGAAGATATAATAATGAAAACAATACCGTTTAGATACTTGATAACTTTTAAAAACGCCAATATCCATATACTCTTGTTTTTCAGCAAGAAAAATAATGGAAGTTGAATTTTGTTTGTTCTATTTTTGTTAGAAAAACGAGTTGTTTTGATGAATTAAATGGGATACTCAGATAATTAAAATCTAGTTATAAAATAATCACGTTTCAATAATAATCAATTTTCAAGTTATCTTAAACTGTGCGGCTTCAGAATACATGTAAAATAAAAAAAAAATATTGTTTAATCTTATTTTTTTATATAATCTTTTTATTATTTCGTTTGTATGAATGTTTTGTGATTAAAAAAATATTAATCGAGTTTTAGCAGGACAGTCTTTTTTTCTCTCGTTTATTTTGCAAGATATTTTCGAAAGATTATTTTTGTAATATTGTAATATTTTACAAAAGATATTTGAAATACATGTAAGTTTATGTCTGAAAACTTTACTTTAATCCGTTGTGAATAAATCGTTAATAATAATACATTATTACAGAATAAGAAGAGCAATTGGTAATGTTACAAAATATGGGTAAGTGCAATTTTTTTTGCAATATGGTCAATTCTATGAGACTAATGGCAATGGCAAGTCTCTGTTTTATATGTCTCATAAATAACTAACTGCATTTGTATTTGTCAATCATGTATCACATTTCACGAGTACTAAATATTTGCGAGGCCGACGAGTAGGCTATGGTCGAACGTCATTATTTTATCAGTCAAACAACTGTCAGTTGTCAAAACAATAATAGCGGTTTTCTTGTATTTTCGCATATTATTATCGAAATAAGTGGTGCGGTTAATTTGATTTTGAAAAAGAACACGATCGGCAACACTTTAAAAGACTATTCAATCTGTTAACCTCTGTTCTGCAAGCGCTTTAGGAAATCATTCGAGTTACTCTTCAAGAACTTTAAAGGTAAGGAACAAATAATTTACATGGCATTTTGATTCGATATTTTATTTATTATCCAATTTAAGTAATAGAGATAAACACTTATTAATCATCCTGTTCTGTATATCTTGCAATAATTTCGCCTCTATATGTGTGTAAGTGCAAATTTGCTATGGTCTTCTATTAGTTGACCAAAGACTGATTATTAAAACAAAAGTGGTTAGTGTGACAAAGTTACAATCCCACAATAATACCCTTTTCTTTTCCCTTTATATGAGACTAATGGAAATTGTCTTTGTTACTTCTGTAGACTAAAGTGCCTACAAATTTGCACTTAACTGTACTTATAAAAATGCCTATCTATTTATTCGCGTATTATTTACCAAGCATTTAGACTATTTTTGGAATTATGCAGCAGATTAGACTGATAAAGCTAGATGCCCTTGAGTTTTCTAGTAAACAGCCCCAGTGGCCAGTGATACGTGACTGAACTACATAAGTTTTACGTAAGAGACCACATTTTTTAATCAATTAAAACCAGCTGTCACTCAAATCACGCCATTTTAAGCCATTACAAAAATTTAACCTAATATTAAAGAGGTGTTTTATTAAGAGTTTTATCCAATTAAAGTACTGTGAAATAAGTTATTCGTTAATCAACATGGTAACAGAACTGAAAACCGAAACTGCTTTCGAGGAGGCTATACAGTAAGTACTCGTACAATATGAATCAAACGAACACTAAAATTGATTACCTAGGGCTGCAGTAATATCAGCAGTACATTTCCAAGCCAACTGGGCAGAGCAATGTGTTCAAGTAAATCAACTATTGGAGGCTCTGTCCGCTCAAACTAACTACTCTAGCATGAAATTCTACTCGTGTCCTGCCGAAGACTTACCAAAGGTATCCGCCAAATACAACATTGAAGCTGTCCCTACGATCCTCCTATTTCGTTCCGGCAAACGCTTGGATGTTATACACGGCGCGGATAACGAAAAAATCGTAGAAATATTAGGAAAATACAACAAGTCATCGGGCGATGAGCAAACTCTACCGCTAGAAGAGAGGTTGAAGACTTTAATAAACAAAGCGAACGTTATGCTATTCATGAAAGGCGACCGTAAAGTCCCTCGATGTGGTTTTAGCAAACAAATGATATCGATATTGGATAATGTAGGGTAAGTGAATCAATATTATTTAAAAACGTATATTCTACATGTTTCTTGCAGAGTACCATACGAAACCTTCGATATACTGAGCGATGAAGAAGTGCGACAGGGTTTGAAAAAGTTCTCCAACTGGCCTACGTATCCGCAGTTATACGTGAAGGGCGAGTTAATCGGCGGGCTGGATATCGTAAAAGAAATGATAGAGGCCGGCGAATTTGAATCGACCCTTAACAGTTAGGTTAGTTCGCTTGTACTAGTATATTAGCGTTTGGGGAAAATGAAATTGTAACTTATTTCTGTTCATATTTTTTTTAATAAAACAATACAAATTTATTTTGTACAACTTAATCTATTATAAACGGAACGATGAGTACGCAATTCCTGGCATCGGGTACTGTACTCCATCTTCCGCATTTGTGCTCCTTTCCTACGCCTATAAGAAGCTTCTTACCATCTGATGTAAATTGTAGGCAATTTACGAATCCTTCTACTGGAATCCTCATAACTTCGCTGTAGGATTTGAAATAATTTTCTAATTTCCAAACATTCACGAATCCATTATTGGAACCCGATGCTAGTAAATCGGTATTATGCAGAGCTCCGAGGGACGTTATCCACAAAGGTTGCGCGTTTGTTTCTCTTCCATGAGCATCGTTGATTACACAAAGTGGTTTTTTCCTCATCATACTCCACACGCAAATTTGCCCGTCGTCTCCGGCAGATGCGAATATCTCCTCGTTGATTAATTTTACATTATCTATATTTCCCGAGTGTCCGTTGTAGATTAATTGCGTTTCTTCTGTTATTTTCCACATTCTTAAATCGCGGCTCCCGCACGACACCATCCTGTCTTTGTAGAGAGCGTCTATCGAAGCTACGACATCTTGGTGGCCGAATAACGTCTCAACGTAGGCCATCTCATCCAGACTCCAAACTTTCGCTGTCCTGTCTTTCGAGCAGGAATATAGCGTGTGAGTATCCTTTCTGAAGCATAAGCCCGTTATGGAATTTTTGTGTCCGGTGAATTTTTTTATAAATTTAAACGTGCTCGGATCCCAGATGTATATATCGTTCGATCTCGTTCCTACTGCCAAATATTTATTATCCGTGGATATAGCTATACTTAAAATTTCACTGTTGTGTCCTGTAACTTCACCGTTTGAGTTTCTAACGAACGGAATTACACCGATTCTTCTATTATCTAGCAGGGAATATTTAACTACTACTCCGTCTTTACTTCCCACAAAGACGTGTTTATCATCGGATGAAACACAAAGGCAGGTAATACTTTTATGTTGTTCCCTGCATTTTAAAGTCTTCACGTTTTCCTCATCTACAGCTTTGTATTTATCGGCCACTAACAAACGTAATTTACCCGTTTCTTTAAGGTAGTCTTCGTTTAGCCTTTTAGCAATAACACTTTCATCTACTTCTTTATTATCCCTTCTGGCTTTCTCCTCTTTCTCGATCTCTTCTAAATATATCTTGGCCAAACGAAGTTTCTTCTCCTGGGCCGTCTCGTTCTCATCTTCCGATTGGGACACCTCCGACGCCTTCTCCGCGAATTCCTCGTCTTCGCTGCTGGTTATCTCTTCGTCTTTAGTGCTTTTTTGGGGTTTACTGTCTACTTTGCGCTTTTTAGTTTTTGTCGTCGCATATTTCGCGCGTTTGAGACCGTTGGATTGCTTTCCTTTGATGAAAAACGACATTTTAGCATGTAGAAATATGCTTTTCTACAGCGTGATAAAATTTAGGTTATGTTACGTTAACTGTCATTTGAAATTTCTTCTTTTTTCGTCTAATATTAAATTTGTTACTTGTGCCTTTTACTTTGTAAGACGTCATTATATTTCATATTTCTACATTGCAGATGCGTTGTTTTTACTGAATGCTGTTATGAAACTACACATAAGTACAGTTACATTAAAAATTTAATCGTGTTTAATATAGTTTATTAGAAAATATAGAACGAGTACAGTGAAAATGATGCAAAATACTCATCAACGATGCATGGTTAAGTTACAAAACCTAATAAGGGAAAGCTTAAAATCAACCAAATGAACTTCAAATGAGAACACTAACACATTCCCCTGTCTTCGGTACGCTTCCTGGGCGCAGCCCTGATGATATTATCGACCCGAAGAATCATTTCAGCAGCTTCGCCGGCCGATATCAACACCTGTCGTTTGACAACGAATGATTCGGTGATGCCCAACGCTCGCATATCGCCCAACTCGCCCTTCTCCATGTTCAAACCCATAGTGTTGAGGCCGCTGTTGTGGGCAGCCTTGAGTTCGCTGATTAATTGAGCGGAATCGTAACCGGCATTATCAGCGATGATGGTCGGTAGCTGTAACAAAGCTCTAGCGAAGGCGTCCATGGCGAGTGCTTCCTTTCCAGCGGTATTAACGGCCGCTTTGGCCACGGCCGTAGCCATAAGGGTCTCGCTGCAACCGCCTCCGAATACGATTCTGCTTTCTTTCACCGTTGCGGCTAGTACGCAAAGAGCGTCGTGCAGGGAGCGATCCGCTTCGTCGATGATTTGCTGGGTGGCCCCTCGAATGACTATCGTGCAGGCCTCCCCCAAAGCTACTCCGCTGAAACGCAGCAGCGTATCTTCTCCTATCATCATTTGTTCGATCACGTCGCAAGTTCCCAGTTTGACGAGCTCCGGGTGATCGAACGTCGAGACTATTTCTCCTCCGGTGACCAGCGCCAGTCTTTCGATGCCATCGAAATCGGCGTGTTCAATGGCCATCACTCCGGCATCGGCGAACAACTGCTCCGGGTAGTTGTAGATGAGTTGCCGGTTGATGAACACGTTGGCGTTGTGCTTGAGGATCTTGTTGACTTTGTCTTTCATTTTATCCTTCTCGGCGGACTCCAATTCGGCGATTTTGGCCATCGAGTCGACTTTGATGTGCGAGCCAAACACTTTGATTTTATCGGTGTCCATCGGGGTGTTGGCGATCAGGATTTTAGCGTTCTCGACTCGCTTGGGCTGGTGCACGCCGGGTTTCTTGTCCAGCAGGAATCCTTCGTCGAGGAACGAATCCTGCAACGTACCGCCGGTTTTTTTGATCAGTTGAATGGCTTGCAAATCGCCGGATCCCTTCAATCTCAGCACGGCGTCGACAGCGAGCTTCGCAAAGTGCTCTTTGTGTTGAGATAGAATTTTCGAGCTCAATGTGGTTCGGGCGATGTTCATCAGATCTTCTCTGAACGTTTCTAAGTTGGCGCTGTTGTCTTTCGATGCGTCCAAAAGCTCCTTTCTCGCGATATCCACGGATTTTCTCCAACCCGCTATAATAGTCTGCGGATGGATCTTTTGCTCGATTAGGCGTTCGGCTTCTTTTAACAATTCCGAAGCTGAAATTTATAGCAAAATGATGTTAAAACGTGGCTTATAATTCGATTAGTATTAGCTCACCTAATACAGTTACTGATGTGGTACCATCGCCTACTTCGTCATCTTGTACCTTTGACATGTTGACGAGGATTTTCGCAGCAGGGTTATCGACGCCCACTGATTTTAATATAGTAGCTCCGTCGTTGGTGACTTCTACCATTCCGCTGTTTCTGCCGCTCGACACGAGAATTTTATCCATACCTTTGGGCCCCAAGGTACTCCTAACCAAATCTCCGATGGCAATGGCGCCGACGAAGCTGCTCAAACGCGCTAGTTCCGCCCGTTCCTCCTCGGCCTCCTGTTTGAGAATCCTCACCGGGTTTAATGACACCTGTAACGAATAAACGCGTTTATAAAATTAATTTTTTCGATGAAAGCACGTGTGTAACCGGCTACATTTCGCCGAGCACCTGATTCGAAACGACAGTTATTTCATTGAAATCGATCGTTTCTAATATGAATAAAGTGTGATAAACGCACCGCGAAGCGGGAATTTATAATACTTACCATTTTTATGTATATTTATTCCTTTTCGAACTTGAAATTGATAAAATAAATAATTGTAGTCCTGGATATGTCAAAACCAAACCTAATGATTTTACTGAAGTAAAGTTAGTCGCATTTATGTCAAATGTCAAACTGTCATTTGTCTTTATTTCTTCTTTCTTTTAATAATACATTATATTGTCCGGCTTGTTAAAAATTACATTCAATTATTCTCGAACTAAAAACCCTGTCGATATTTATAATCGATATCTAATATTATTTCATAAATAATTCTTGTGTATAATTGATAAACTACTATTATCAAAGGCCAGAAATAAACTGTCAGTTGTGTAATAAAAAAGACGAAAAATTGACATATAACATAACCTACAAAACTGATAATTTAATTTTTATGAAAAAGTTTCATTAATTTTTTAAATATGAGTTCTAATATTGTTCAATATGTTGTTGTGCGTGGAGATCTACTAAAGCAATTAGAATGGCCCGTCGGGGCGCTTATAGCGCAAGCCTGTCATGCTGTAACTGCAGCTATACACCTTTTTTATCAAGACGAAATAACTCAGGAATATTTAAAAGACACGGATAACATGCATAAAGTAGTACTAGAAGCTCCAGATGAAAAAGCCCTAGTGTCGTTAAAAGACAAACTCGAAGAAAACGGCATTAAGTACAAATTGTGGATAGAACAACCCGAAAACATACCTACGTGTTTAGTTTGTAAACCTTACATTAAGGATGATGTACAGAAGTATTTTAAGAAGTTCAAGTTATTTAAAACTTGATAATATGTTTAGGTTAAATAATAAATAATTGTTTTGTAAAAATTCTTTTATTAAATTATTATTATCAACTTATTTCTTTTGTATTTTGTGGTGTAGATTTGTTCGTTGGTAGAAGAATAATCACGATAATAACCACTGAAAATAAAAAAAATATTTGATTAATTATGTGATTTGAGAGTTTAAATTCAAAACTATATTCAATTTCTACATGCAATAGATTATTTGTACATACCTGCATGTAAAGCAGCAATAGCATAAAACAAATAATCGCAAAAATTGAATAATATAGGCCCGATAGCATTTGATCCGGTCATGGCGCCAAATCTTCCAAACATCAGGGACACAGCAAGAGCCATACCCCTAATTTGAGTGGGATATAAATCCACTACTATAGCATTCACGATTCCTACCCCTGTAGCTGCCATTAAAAATATACCTAAAAAATTTATTCATTATCTAAACTCCAAATTTGTTATCATTGTAGGTACTCACACAAAGCAACTTGTATGTAAAGGTAACTGTTCAACATCTGAGCGCAAATCCCCGAGATTGTGGTAAATAAAATGAAGCCGCTCAGCAATTTACGGGCTCCTATTATATTTATTACTGATCCAATAGTAATATAACAGATCGCGTAACAACAACCAATCACTAACGAAGTTAGAAACACTTCTTCGTTAACATTATCATTGCAAACTTTTGACTGCAAACATAAAATTGTAGTTAAAGAGAAGTAGAAAAGAGCTAGAATTTACCATAATGGCCCTGGATGTTCTATTTTGATAATTGATTAAAGCTGATTCGACGTAAAAATTATCGAGAGTAACATCATCGGTATCATCGCTGTACAAAACAGCTTTGCACAAGGTGATTTCATTATCTGGTAATTTTTTGCCCAATTCGGTCATGCTATTCAAAATTTCGGGATACCACATAATAACAGCGGAACTCCTGAAAACGGAATTATAGTTACATTTTTACGCCTTATTGAGTTTCTTACTTACGATAAAAATATGGCGAATTGCAGAAAACAGACCATGAAAGTTTTCAAAATGAATCTCTTCTTGAACAGCGGTACGAATTGTTCCCAAATTGAATTGAGCACGCTTTCGTTCGCTTTGTGGTTAACATTGCCTTCGTCTTCCCACAGGATTTTTTTAACCGGGTATTCTTCGCGTTTTTTGCCGGTGTTTACTGTAAATATAAGCTGCAGGATTTCAAAAGCTTCTTGATGTTTCCCTTGAGCCATTAGATATTTAGGACTTTCCGGCAGGAAAATTACCAAAATTAAAAACACCAAGCTCGGCAAGGAGTATATTATTATTAGAAGCCTCCATGGTCTGAAATATATATCGAACGGTAGATTCAAGGACCATTCCTGCGGGAGGATAACCCAAGCTAATCCCGGTAGGTAAATATTACCGAACGCTACGAATGTCGCTATCCAAGAGACGACTTTCGGTCGACATTTATTATCGTGGAATTCTCCTGCGTATGCATAAATAATTGCAGAAGAACCGCCTACACTGAAAGATAGCCAACAATTAAAATAAATTACGTTTTGTTAACGAATGCAACTTACAAAAACCCATTAAGATACCTCAACAATATAAACAACCATACTGTTGATACAAAACTACCAATTATACTAATAATTGAGCTGGTAATTAACGAAATAATCGTCACTAATTTTCGTCCTTTCGTGTCAGCCAAGTAGCCCCATAAAAATGAGCCCGACACTACTCCGAAAAAACTTATGGAGTACAGTAGACCTTTTTGACCTAAACTTAGATTTAAGTCACATTGAGCTGCCGGTGTTACGAACATTGCGCTCATCGTCTCTATTATGACGCACATCAAAGAGCCCCCAGTCGCCAATAGGACAAATAAATTGAATTTTCCTATACCTAGAAAGAAATAGTATCCAAAGTTTATATTTACTTGTAGCTAAATCTAAAAAAAATAATCTTATTCAAATAAAATTAAAGTTATAATGCCAGCCTTATTATGATTAGTTGAATAGATTTAGTTGGATAATTACAGTGGAATTCGAATGATCAAATCATTTTTTAGTCGTAAAGATAACTCTAGCAAAAATTTGTTCATTTGAAAATATGATTATAAATGTTTAAATAGGCAGTAAATATCTTACACAATAACGCTAGTTTAATCCATGTGTTTTAATTACATTTATTACTTAATTTGCCGTTTTTACAATAATATGCTGCTTTTTAATATACTTAAACTTTTTTGTGACAAATATATTTCTAATTTATTTGCAACAAATATTAGATACCTACCTATTAATGAATTTAGTATCATTCACTGCTTTATAATAAGTGAATAATTAATATAATATATTACATGAATAACACTAATATGAATGATTTGTTATGCTGGAAACTTACATAATTTTTAACAAAGTTATACAATACTTTTCAAATTTTTCAAATTTAAAATTTTTATAAAATTACCTGTAAGCGAAACTGCTTCGTCGAAAGTTTTAACACCGGGTTCAGGGCTTTTCGCCATATTCGATTGATGCTTAGTTAATTATTTAAGCACTAATGCACTTCACCTCCAAGGAAGTTTACTGTTATCTAAAATAACTTGATATAATATTGCCAATTATACACGCTCCATCTACATAATTTAAAGAAAAAAGGAAAACAGATAAGAAGCTAAACGATTCGCAAATATTTTGCTGCTTTTATTATATCATTTCCATATAATGAAAATCTTTTTTGTTAAATTAGGTACATACATAGTTTGCGTACCTACTGATAACGTTAAAATTATTTCGCTATTGTTCTCATATAATTTACCCATTTGAATGAATAGAGAAATTCCCGTCCGTATAACACCACTTTAGACGGTTTTCCCGAGTTTTCCGGGCGCGCTGGACGACCTCCTGGCGTTTCCTGCCGTCCTGCCGACGACGCTATTGGCAGGTTTTCTGTAGGATTTTCGAAAGTCGATTAACAATTACACAAGAAAAAAGCTAATGTCCTAAACGACGACAAATTAAAGCATAATTGTTATTGTTGGTCGATTTCCGTTTTTCCGGTGGAAATTGTTTCTTAAACGTTTCCGGTTGAAACTCGCAATAGGTCCCTTATGAGGCTCGCAGGATTGCGAAGAGGTACGGAAAATCCAGGAAAATGCAATGGAATTCACGTCAAGTGGTGGATTTATAAAGGGTAGGTAAATGTTCAGTAATTTTAACGATTAGATTTTTGAATATATTTTTGGTAAATAGTATTTTCTATAATGGCCTTTACAAATTCTGCCTATAACTTTTTAATGTTATTATTTTATAGGTACAAGAAGTTATTGAAATTTCAACAAAACACCTCAATAAATGAATAAACCCACACGCGCTTTATCCAATAAATGAAATAACCTCGTTCCTCGTTCTCGTGATGATAATACTATTAAATAGTATTTTATATTATTTTAAATAACATTCATAACTTTATTGCTAATAGGATGTGATTCAAAATAATTCGCAAAACAACCGCTTATACGTATTTAAATTCGTTTGAAAATTAACACGCTCGGTAAATATTTATAATGACGAGATAACAGTTAATGTACCCCCAAGGTTGGTATTAAAAAATAGGAATTCTTTAATTGTAGCAATAAAACACCCGTAAATAAAAAAGTTTTTAATACATAATAGTAAACTAAAAATGAAATAAAAACGATATAACAATTATAATTTTCCAAGTGTTATTGACTGAGTCAATGGTGTAAAAAAAGATTACACAATGTATATAAGGGCCTAGAAAATGATTGGGATGATTTCTTGGCACAATTTTACCCTTATAAAGTCTACACCTCTTTATCACAAAACTTTTGGTTATTAATTTAGAATCTGAAACTATCGCCGTGTAACCCCATCATTTCTTTACGTATAATTATTAGGAAACACACTGTATACTATCCACTTCTGCGAGATATCCTAATAATATCCATACAAACACAACTAGGAGGTGTACAAATCGATGAAAAAGTGCGGTTGTTATCAGTCGCGGGGCGTTTACCTATTTATCGATCGACAAAGCACTTGTCGCCGTCCGGCTAAAACAACGAGGGGGTTGGAAACGCGCGTCGGCGTCGATGACAAGTGGAAATTCCGCGGCGACGCCACGGCCTGATGGTCTCCTGCTACAAAAATTTTCCGAGAAGATACCTCGGCGAGCTTTGGGCTTAAGGTATGAGTCAAAGCTCTTCTGAAAGCGCCGAAGTTTTTCGGGGGGTTTCTTCAATTAGCCGGAAAAGTAAGGGTTTTCCGGGCTGCGATCGGAAAACGCGGAAAATCGCAATCCGCGGCGCGGATGTTTGTTTTGTTTTTAGGGAACTTTTCCATTTCCATACGGATGGTATTGATTTTATATGTGTGTATAGTTGTGCAACAGAGCGAGTTGGATTTATTGCGGTGTCGATGCGCGCGAGAAAGATGTAAAATCTAATCGTTATTTTCGTTTTGCTAGGCAATTATGATTTTTAATTACTCACAATTGAAATAAATTAAGTTAAAAATTGTTTGCAATTTGAAATTTATGCTAGATATTTTACGCTGTTAAAAAGGGCAAATTCAGTGAGTGAAATTTCGAAATCAATTACATTTCTCCCAAGAGAAATCCCTCACAATTAAAAAAATATTTCCGACGAATTTCGTAATACGTCGTGGATTAATGGCATACGGGGAGGAGGAACGGTGAAACGTAACTCGCTGGGCGTTCTCCACCAAATTAAATTAGGAAACTTAAATTCACATCATTAGGGCAAATTATTAAGGTCGTACATACGGACAGATTCGGTTTAATTATTAGGTGGGAGATTCCGTCACGCATTATTACTCGAATGCGCCCAGAGAGAAAATTATTACTCGAATCGGCTGGCCAGAGGACCATCCGGAACACGAAATATTACTAAAGATATCCATCAGTTTGCTACTGATCATTGTAATCATTCTAAAAAATTAATTTTACGAATGTACTGTTCTATAGAAATAACTGTAGACTGTTTAAAGTACTGCTCATGTACTCAGTTTCTCTTAGGTCTACAGCTATTTTAATAGCAGATAAATAAGGATCCTTGAAAATTCTCTAATCAATGTAGTCTTGTTAATTTAGAATTAAATTACAAACTCCGACTCTGCCTTTGTGATTAAAGGATTTCTGGGGAAACCGCAAAATCCCATGACCGTTGTCATTTAAAACTATTCGATTTTTTTGTGGAAATATTTAAATAATCACGTTATAATACGTCTGTTCGGGGTGGTCTCCGCGAATTTTTTTGTCAAACCCAATGGATTTGTCAAAATTATCCTTTCCGGGGACACTAAATTAAAGACAACGAGTCGTAATGATCGGGTCCACGCGATTTTGACACTTAATTTTTTTATCGAATGGCTCAACGAGGTTAAATTGCACGCTAATTTATTAGGTTTATAATAAGTTGAATACTGTATTTTATACAAGACTCTAACTAGAAATTTAGTTTGATAGTCTACGAAGAATTTAATTAACACGCTGATATGCCTGGCGAAAAATAACGCAATTTTTGGTTCTCTTTAATTACAGCCAACGGGCTGAAATATCTCGGCGTTTTTCTGGAGTTTCCATTAAACCAAATCGACCGTGACTTATGATTGCCGCGAGTGCCGCCCCTTTTAAAATAAGTTATAAATTTCGCTGCGGCAAAAATTCGCCCTGATTTATGGCCCACATTAAGGGCGCTGTTAGCTTAAAATCAACAACGAGTTAAAATAATTATCGACCCCTTGTGAATCCAGAAGCGAAATCGAACTGTTTTTCTAGCTTTAATTTAGAGAATTTTTGCTAATTTTTAAAGAAGAGACGATTTCTAAGTATACAATAAAGATAGTTTTGTAAATAATTTTAGCAATTTCTCAGCACATGGATTAGTAAATAGGTAATACTTCTAATATGCTGTAGAAAATAATCTGCAGTATCCGAAGTATCCGCAAATGGGTCCGGGTCGTGAGGGTTCCCTTTCGTTTTGCCAGTTTCAATTAAATCCGAACCGTGACCGATGGTTCCGCGCCTACTCTTAAATAAGTTATAAATAATCCCGGAAATATACAACTCCGAAATTATAGGGTGTTAACGCGAATGCAGAAGAAAAACGGCGGGCCCGTGAGTAATGGAGTGCTAGGAACGTTTGCGAATTGTTTTCGGGACATTTTTATTGCTTTACCTTTGCACTTACGCCGGTTGAATTGAGACGTTAAAATAAATTGTTATTTTTGTCCGACAACGGTATATTTTTTTAAATTATATTTCGAAAGGTACGTTCTGTTTCGGAAATAATTCTACCCTTTATACGTGCAGGGTGAATTTCTTTAATCGGGGTTTGAATCGTTTTGAATAAATATTTTACCATTTTAATTATAAGCCTTGTCGTTCTCGAGCAGTTAAGAAGTGATTTAGTTCGAATAACTTAATTCATATGATATAAATGTACCTACGAAAAAAAGCCTAAAGTAAATATTCATAGTGGGCGGAATTCGACGTTTAAATCACGATTAAATACGAGAAAAAATGAATAATTCATAATAACTTTAAAGTTGAAAGAAAAAAATTGAATCATTAAGATGAAATGATAGCATGGGGTTATTTGTTTTATGAATGGGATAATTTTAGGGATACATTTTATACAAGGTATGTCTAGAGGAACTTCAACTATCTGTATATGTATTTGAAATTAATTACCTGATTTAAATAAAATGGGGCTATATTGAACTCAGCGGTAAAAAATAAGGGAAGTTAATGTTCCATGTTCATGCGAAGAAGTAAATTTTGTAAATTAGAAATGAACAAATTAAAATTTAGTTCCTTCGCCATCATCAGGACTTCTCGAATTGAATTCAACCTTTCGGAGTCGCTTACCAATAAACCATCTGTTCAGGTGCACACGTGCGAACATTCAAAATCGACCGAAATTCGTTATAAATATACCTATAGCTTCGAATTCGACGGCTTACCCTCGTCGTCGACATCACCGTCGGCCGGTGGATGGAACGAGCGAAAGAAGAAGCCACAATATATCTGACGACATATGTTCTATAGACCAAATTGCCGCTTATTTTATATAATTTTTTATTGTTCTTGCGTAATCACCACCGCAAACGAAAAAGAGCGAACTTAACGAATTTTTATACCATTCCAAATTCGTACCAACAGTGCTAAAACCTGACTAGTAGTAGAAGATTTCTTAGTGTAATCGGTATTTGGGTGGTTATTTATAGAAGATAAATACTCTACTTCTTTACCACAGTTTTTGGATTTTCTTCATCTAGGTACCTTTAAGTGCATAAATTTGAATTTAACTGGGATTCTTTAGTTTCTTTCTCTAACTTCATCAAATTGTTCAATTGGAATGGACTGGAGACAATAAAACTGGACAATAAGATAAAAGAAGAATGTTGGACCAACTATAATGAATTTCACCAACTTGATTTAAGAGGGTGTCCAAAATGTTGGTTCAGCACCAGCTTATGGTTGAACAACTACCAAATTGTTTAATACGCCTAATAGTGCGAAAACGTCTGGTCTGGCGATCTAGTTGAATGCTGAAAACTCGTCGGTTTTGGCGTTTTCGAGCTTTCGGTTCCGGTCTTTCGAACGCGTTCGCTAACCAACTGTTACGGGGTTTGCACGGAAGTGTGCCTATTGCCACGCGCCCCACAAAACTCCTACTTAATGACTTTTATTTTAACTGTCCATCACCGCGTTACCTTCGACTGTCTAGCTCTCTCTTCCACTTTTTCCCTTAACATATGTCATCTGATCGGATCCGGCGGGCTCCTTTTAGAAATCATCCTTTCGATATTCACTGCCAGTGTACTCTGTGTATTGTACCTACGTGTAGGTATATTGTTTTGCAAGATTTTTGATGTAGAGGAAGAAATTAACTTTGCGGCTTCGTCTGGTGGTTTCCTCTGATAAAGCCCTAATAAGTAAAATTAATGCAATATAATAGCACAAAACGGATGTTTTGTCTTTATAAACGTGGACGTGGAATTTGATAGGCACTTGAAGGATTCGATAATACGGAAGTTTCAGATATTTTATTAACGACTATAAAATAATTAATCATTTAGCAAACTCTTATCTTCAACTAATTTACTGTAATTACCAATAGTCCATTTCGCACATAGTTAAACCGAAAATGACACCCTCTTATCCATTTTTATTAGGCGCATTCTACTATCAATCTAACTTAAAAGCTTCTGCTAGTCTTTAAATTGCAGTTCTAATAATAAAAGTTAAACGAGATCGTAAATTTGAGGGTTTAAGCGACGAATAAATCTACCAAAACAGAGGAAAAAATAGCAAGAAGGGCTATTATTTAACACTTTATTAGCAGATCTTATCGCAAATAGGCTCCGGAGCCTCTAATTACGGGCTTACGAGTTTGACCACTGCGGCTCTGGTTCGTTCCGGTACGGTACGGTGGTACCTGAAGTGATGCCAGATTTGTATTAGAGACACCTTATAGATTTACTATAGGTAAAGTTATTATAGTCTATTCACTAAACTTACGCGGGTTTGTTGCTAATGATCCTAAATAGTCAGTTTCGCCCAGAATTTGGGTCAATTACAATAAATAAGTTGAAATAACTTTACGATTGATAACTTTAATATTAGAGTATTAATTTGATCAGTTCATAATTACCCCAAGGAACAGGTAAAATGTTGAGGTACTTGCCTTGTAATATACTATAATCTTAATTTGAATCCTGCGTAAGTTCAGCGAATGAACTATAAGTAGTTAAATTATAAAGCCTGTTTTTTTTAAGCAAAGTTAGTGTTTTATTATTTTATCAACGGAAAATACTATTGTGTAAAATATATTACAGTATCCAAATCACAACCCTCATCATATGCCCCAAACATGCGGTTAAGTAGTCGATTTTTTTTTATTTTATTGTTCGAAATGGCTAAGTACCTATTTAAAATTTTAAACAATAAAAACGTTTCGTAAAAATTAGGCTTCTTCAGTATTCTTATAAGACGCAGTGCTACTAGGTATACTCGAATAGAGCCATTTTTACGACGTTTAAGTGTTCTCACAGTGGGGAAAAATAAAAAATAAATCTGCAACGTCACCTATCTCGATTAAAATGTCCCTATTCAAGTCGTGGGTGAGTAGCGCGTCCCGGATAGTTCTCCACAAGACGTTTCTATTCAAAAAATGGTCTATAACAAAACGCGGGTTAAATAATTAAGATGGACTTTTTGGCAGATAATTACACGCTCGATCTACGTGTGAGGTAAGCCATTCGAAAGTTTTCGTTAAATACAATAACAACAAAAGCGAGCGAAAAAGTTCCGAATTTCGAAATAAATTGGTACGAAAAAAAATCGTTAAATTTTCACACATCCTGTATAGAATGTTTGTTTTGCGCCGGGCACAATATCAGATGTAGCCCCTTGGGAAAGTAATCATGGCACTCCGCCTACAATTTGATGACTTCATTATCTAAAATAAAACTTCAAAAAGGAAGCTGCGGCCTCGCCGACGCGCCTTTATGGTTTTTTAACAATTTCGTGAAAACGAAGACGCGATGCATACGGGATTTTTGTTTGTTTTCTATATCAATCCACGCAAATTATGGGGTTCCGTTTTGTTTACTTAGGTCCGCTTCTTTTTATTATTTTCGACCGGATGCTGACGCGTATCTCTAATAGCCATCGAAATCATTCGGATATCATAAAAAAATCTATACAGAATTACCTTTTAATTTTTTATTAAATAGTTGCTTAAATAGAAATTAATTTGAGTGGAAGTGATCCCTATAAACAATAATATTGTACAAAGATCGTTGGACATTTCATTCTAATATTCGAATCGTCAGGTGGATAGACTCACAGCAACAACAAAAAACTTTTAATCCCTCCCAATTTCCTAATATTTCATCGAAAATACCTAATCTGTGTGCTCCATTTATTCTATTAGTTAAGGTCGAGGCTAAGCTTCCGCAACGCACAGAAACGAATTCTATTGCAACAATGAAAACCGATAAAAGTTTCTGCAGGATATTTCAAAAACAATGCGAATCTCCGCGGCGCGCCTTTTATGCGTGATTCGTCTCAAATCTACGCCGGCGGTGCGGCGCGCACAAAACACCCCGTAGGGGGGTCAAATCGCTTTTATTCGTGTCAATCGAACACACCGGTTGAAATATCGATTCTATTGTGGCGGTTTTAATTAAAAAAAAAAAATAGAAATCCGGATACCTAAGTGTTTGTTCGAATTAAAATTAAACTATTAAAAGAATTAATACTACAATAAATATTACATTTTAACAACTGATTTTTGACGGATTATCAGTACTCATAACTCACGAAGCTTGAATAATTAGGATACCTGATGCTTCGTTAGAAATCAACTAGAAAATTGCTTTCGAGAAATACCGTTCCCAACCCCACCGTTTCCGAAGGCTTCGCACCTACCCCGGAGCGGTGCTCGTTTTGCTTTCGTTATCCCCGAATGGCCCGTGACGGGATTCTTCTACGGTGAGAAACACGAGAAAAAAACATTCAAATTACGCCGGGCATTCGATTGGACCTGTCATAGGTAAATTATAACGCTCACACCTCAAGAATTTTGACGAGAATCGCCACCCTTGTCGACCGGCCCGAGCATAGACGGACCAAAAAAAACCGTTTTCTCAACACTATACATATTAGATATTAAAGAGACCAAATAAATGAATATTCATTGAAATAACTTAAATATAACTTACCCAAATGGTAAAAAGTTTGTTCTTATAATGGGATCATAATACTCGTACTGTTATGATACCAATGCTAATGATAATACAAAGCTTTTAAAGCTTTCAAAGCCTCCATAGAAGAAACATTCATCCAACAGTTAATGAATTTATAACTAAAGTACCTTTAGAAATAAACGTGGATCTCCGTTTATGGGCGACTTGACACCAGGGGCCGCCCCTTTGTAGCTGTTGTGGACGAATTTGCATGTAATCATCTCGTTAGGGTTTTTGAAATCGATTACTATTAGATCGTCGCCGGTGTTTTGATGGGTGTTCGATATAGTTCTGATCGATTTAATTGCCTCGTGGAGAGCGTGCTAAGTTACAAGAACAAAAGGAAACGTTTTAACTTAAGGGTACGATCGCGTGTTGGTTTGTTATTTAACATATTTTATTTTAGATATAATACTGGAGATTATTAATTTTTGTTTCTCGTATGAATACGCCGCATCGACAAATGGTTTAAATACTAACAGAAATTAACAAGAGATTGCTTTAAATAATCACACTCAATTTTTATTTCTATTCTTCATGCCTAATATAAGATTGCGTTATTAATATTTTTTGTGATTAATTAGTGGTTGTAGCGTTGCAATCTTCACAGTATAATCCGAAAAGAATGCGAGATTACAATATTTTTCCCATTTTTTTTATTGTTCGTTCGCCACAAATTCTGTCGCGCTTTATGGGGTTGTCTTAGACAACGTTATAATCAACCCCTTGGCCGCTAATTCGTTTCAGGGTGGTCCCCGGGGCATAATTGTCCCCTACGGGGCGTCAGATATGGCACTGCCATCAAATGTTAATAAATATTTCTCGCCAACGGCGGAAATTGCTGAATTATTTCGTCGCGGTTCGCATGAAAAGGGATGCGGTTTGCGGATTTCTTTCGATTCCTTTCTTTTCGTTGTGTGATGTGTGTTTAATGTTGCAGAAAGAATTATTTTACCTGGCTTTTTTGGCTGAAACCAAATTTGTTGATAATATAGAAACAGTGTAATGAAAATATAAAAGAGGAAGAAGAGGTAGAAAGATGGAACATGTTGAAGATGTAGAGGATGTAGAAGATGTAGAAGATGTAGAAGATGTAGAAGATGTAGAAGATGTAGAAGATGTAGAAGATGTAGAAGATGTAGAAGATGTAGAAGATGTAGAAGATGTAGAAGATGTAGAAGATGTAGAAGAGGTAGAAGATGTAGAAGATGTAGAAGATGTAGAAGATGTAGAAGATGTATAAGATGTAGAAGATGTAGAAGATGTAGAAGATGTAGAAGATGTAGAAAAAGTAGATTAAGTAGAAGAACTAGTCGAAGAAAAAGAAGAGGTACTTAAAAAATAGGACAACGTAAAAAGAACTCTAATCTTTTCTCTAAGAAGAAAAGAATTCTTGCTTGATTCTTCTAAAGATAACGAACAGAAAGGCAATCAAGAAATAAGGTATATGATGAGACCAGCAGATGAAGCAAGCAAAGAAATATAAAGTCCATTGTACGGGATTTTGCGACTGCAATTATCTAATCAATGAAGAAAAAATTGGAGAAAATTTTTTTCTCGTTTCGATTACACCTTCGTAATCGCCGGCCCTCCTGGAACATAATGTTTACAGAAACGGCTCGTAATTAGTTCAGGACCAAACCGATTAGCGAGATGTAATGATGGGTTAGCAATAATTCGAAAATTGGTTATTGGTCGATAAACAACTTTTTGGTGATGATAGAGGCGTCTCGCGCGGACACCTGATTCCGGCATTGGTGCATCATCGAGCTAAAAGGACGGCGTTTTATACAGGATGTCAAATAAATTAATTTTTTTATAGTATAAGACCAAGAGGAGTAGTCCTTGCAAGAGATGGAAAACTAGCGTAGGATGGCAAAATAGGGAGTTAAGAAATAATGATTCGTTATTTTTACAGTATTATAAATTCAGGACGTTCAGGATTATAAAGGATTTATTAGATTATATATGTTTCTAAAGCAAAAGTTATATTTTACCTTAAATTTTGTGTAATCTCCAACTTCCTCTATCGAAACGATTTTGAAAATTGCACTGAATTATTTCATTATCCTGTAAAACTTTTTTGCAACCGTCTAGATTGTTAGATTTTTTTACGATTTTTTAGTATAGTAATAGTTAAAGGCTCCGCTTCCTATTAGATCAGCACCGTCTCAAAATAACTTTATAAAAATTGATTTATAGCCAATCCATTTCTAATATTCGATCTTTAGGCGAGATTATTCGAAATTATAGGCATTTCGAGGACGGCTCGTTAGCCCGGATAGTGGGAGATTCCACACTGGTTAAATTATTGGGCAACCCTTCGCCCGTTTCCGATCAGACTATCCGATATACTCTATATTTAACATCATACTTAAGATAAATATTGACACAAGGGATCCGGTCAGGTACCCGCGTTTTTCGAAATGATCCCATTGGGGTTGCCAATTCGTCCGAATTGGGCAATTTAATGGGTTTAAAAAATAAATATTGCCAACTATTTTTTTAACTTTTTAAGATAGGTATAGTAAAAGCGTAAAATCCATCTTTGTTAAAATTTTACCTACCTGACTGCTTAACATAAAGGGCCATATTAACCCTTTATCCGAAAATAATTAGCCCGAGAATAAACTTTATGAAACTAACGAAGCATAAAAGGGGTGGCCGGAGTTTATTAATGAGCCCCATTACAATTCTGATTGATTTTTACGAGATTTTCGTCTATTTTAGGGAGGTGTTAATTACCCCGGATATATTATTCAAAATGGTCCGGAGCCATTTTTTACGGCAACAGCTTAGAAACATGTTTTTTCACTGGAAACACAAAAAAGCGCATCGGTTTCGAACCGCCTCGATTTCAAAAGAAATTTTCTACACCGGAAGAGAGATATAACAGCCCTTTAAGGTCATATGTAATTTCCTCTTATAATCGTCCTTTAACTATACGAGAATATAAATTAAGTTTTTTTAATAAAAGGGTGAATTATAAAACATATTAACAAGGGTAGTAGGTAACATCAGGTAGAGCTTTTTATGTACTACGTTGAAAAATTAGAATACAAATGTAAAAAATGTGTCCTAAAAATGTAGATACAGTGTGACAGTAATGATATTCGCGCATCTCACGTATCTAGCTATTTCTATAGCACTGTACTCGTATACTTTTAATTCTATAATTTTATTAGAGGAAATATTGTGTGTTGTTTAGTTGAGGACCCGATTCATCTATATGTTAATAGGCCGTGTTTGAATCGACAGAACGGCGATTTTTACAAAGAAAATCGTCCAATACACAGGTAGAATATGAATTTGGTACGGTCGACTGCGCATAGTGGAAGACACTTGTTAACTAATTCTAAGAAAATAATGACCGCAACGGATTTAAGGACATGATGAATATGACAACTGAATACGTAATTGGTACCGAGAAATATGTCGTCGAAGAATTTCGGGATGTCGTCTTGAAATTATGTAATTTCGATGTTTCTATAGGTGTATAGGTAGACGAAATTGCTTCCATTGAATTGGCTTAAATTACTATACTTCACGTAAGTCCGAGTTTGTTCTCACATTTTCCATGTCTAAAATACCAATCGGGAATGGGACAAAAGACTTATTAACCCTTTTACACAAAACACTAGATCCCAATTTAGTCAATTCTACCGAACGGAACACCGACGTAAATATTTTTATTGGGGCATTTAGAGGCAATGAAGCGAAATTTTTCAGTGTGTTCGCCGTTGTAAATGCTCGATCAACTGCTCAGATTACTCGTCCTCATCGAGGAGGTCCTTTTTATCAGAAATTAGATCTTTTGACGTTTTTTAGGATGTATATACGTAGATTATACGAGGTAACGGGAGAACGACGTTTACGTTTTTTCGGTATCGAATAATTAACCGGAGGCTTTAATAAGGACACTTTTCGAACAACCCTTTCGAAAAAAAACCCGTTATTTTGTTGCTTTACGCTTACCTATGGTCAAATTTGATTCTTACTGGATACTAATAAAATTTTATTACTTTGTTATGTAAAATTAGGAGGAGGAGTAGGAAGTTTTTGTTTTATTTTTGTAAACGTGTATTATACACCTGATATGCCAATATTTCGATACAAAATTAAATTAATTTCAGTAAATTATAACAAACAAGGCGTTTAATGGAAGGCCATCGCTCGTGCTTAACCTGTTTGCCTAACCGATATTTATCAATATTCCCAATTTCGCTCAATTTTCGTCGATAAAACAAGAACGGGATCCCCTTTGGAGAAATTACCGACGACCACGCAGCCCCATTAAATGGAATTAAATAGAATTAAATGGAATTTTAGAATTAAAAAAAAGCCAATTTCTGGTTGCATTTCGATCGTGCGAAATGCGAAATGTACACACCCAGTCAAATTAATCTATGAATCCTTGCGCTCTATTATTATATTATTAGAAAGAACTTTTGACAGGGTGTGGTCACGAAAACACACAATATCGGCACTATTCGTTTGAAGCGGTCGATAATTAAACCACCCGTGCGCAGTTTTTTTTCTAACTCAGTATTTACGTAGCATTTACCAAAATTCGTTTTAAATTACACCGAATTACATTTGTAACGTGTTACAAGTTGAACGATTGCTTAAAATAAAATCTTGTATTCAAATAGGAGCCTAAAAAAGCTCCTTTAAAGCCGGCAAAAGACGTAACAATACAATAAATCGCTTTAAGTAGGGCTATAATACACGGTGTGATTGATAAAAAGGAAAGCTAACGGGTATAATTAAAAAAGAATAAAACAGTAACTGTCAATTGAAACAATGTAGCCGGCACTAATAACAACATGGGGTGCTTTGTTATTGGCGAATTGAAGTCATCGAAGCATGTTATTAAAATAAAACGTCTCGAGTGATTAACCGGAGTTAAATCGTTGTCGAATCTTTTAACAGGTGAATATTATCACATCAACTATTTTTAGTATTGCGAATACGAGGAGTCCCCGTGCCGGTTATAAAATATTAATTATAGACATCACAGCCAGTGACGTATACAATTTTTTATTAATTCCATATTAACTACCTTAATATATTTAATATCTACGTATTTGTAACAATGTTTATTTAACCTTTTGGGATAAAAAATAATTAGCGAAGTAATTCGAGTTAAAATGAGATATTTGTTGGGCGATTTGCCGAAGAATCCAAGACCTATCCGCCGCTGGGATTTGTTGCGAAACGTCTTCGGCGCTTCTTTCGAAAAGAAATTGAAGCCTTTCGAAATCCACGGCTATCTGGCCGATGAAAGGGCGTGGTGCAGGGGGATTTTTTGATGCGAGAGGGCCGGACGAGCAGCCGAAATTACCGAAATTTCTATGGGACTGATTGATGGAATCAGCGTTTTTCCCATTCTTTGCGCACTTACCTGTCGACGTCGACGTTTAACAAAACTAACTTTTTCCTCGATCTACTATTTATCTACGGCTTAGGGTTTTTTTTATTTATTTATTCTTTTAAGAGGCGTTTAGAAATATAAACTACAAGCCTTTTACATCCAGCTTGCAGATAACAAGCATATTTGTGTGACTGGATATACAAAACGTTGCATAAGCCAAGATAAGATACCAGATAAATTCCGTATAATTTTGCACGACGCCAATCAAGCATTACTCTTCTTTTTAAACCGAATCTAACGTATAATAAGCGAAAAAGTTAATCGCGGCTAATCGTCCGGTGCAGTACTCCCTTTTTTCTTTCGGAACCAGTACTTTATTCTCTCGATTCTCGGGCGACCGGTGCCCGAAATTTTCGTTAAAACGTAATTGGATTAATTGCGTGGGATCGCGGCTAAATTTAGCGACGTTTCGGTTGCCATAACGCACAAACACACACACACATATGTGGACCATCGCGTGCTTCTTTAGCCCGAAGAAAAAAAAAACGGTCCGCGAAGATGCCGCGCGAACCGTTCAATTAAGCGAAAGTTTTCGATAATTACTCGCGAGTGGCCGTCCGTTTGACGGGTACTTGACGTCACATATGGTTGTTTTCTTTTAGCTTGTACCTAGGGGTGTAATATAGCTGTAGAAAACATTTGATACAAGAGGAAGATACGTTAGTTCTTTCTAAAAAGTTATGTTTGTAATGGAATGAAATAGGATGAAGAGGCTGGTGGGGCATTGCTATAGCTCCTACACTTTTAATACTAGTATAATTGATGCTATGGTTGTGCCCCATAGTGTGCCCCAGAGCGGATAG